TTAGGAAGCAATAAACAGAGTAAGGAAGCCACAGAAGATAAAGGAGAATCTATATTACTAAACTAATCAGAAGATCATACTTATTAGGCATCTTAATGGTGCTGACAAAGGAAGAGAACAAGGAGAAGTTCTCCAGAGACCTATAAATCTACTTATACTATGGAAAACATAATACATCTTTATAGGTCTACAATAATCACTATTAATTATTTACCTATAATAAAGCTAAAATAAACACTGCAACCTATAATAGCAACAGAATATATCATTTAAGAATAAGAGATTTACTCCCGCACCTTAAATGGCTGTGGAGAGATGACATCAATCCAGAACAATGAAGCCTTCTACATTTCTAAATTAGGAAGTATCGCGGCTTCAAGGGCGAAGCCTATAGAGAAGGGAGGTAACTGTTAAGGGCTACAGCAGACCATAAAGCCGCTGTATGTAGCTAACACTAATAGTGTGGATTACTAGATCACATGATCCACTGTAGATATCTCCGCGAGTTACTAATTATTCCACAACTCAGCAATTAGTTCTCCTTGCTCAGGCAATATACAGTTATCTTGCTCCCTTCACGCTGGTCTTACCAGTTGACCTTGGACCTTAATAGCCGACCTTACACTGCTACTGTAATATTAAGCTCTTTATTCTTAAAGACCCAGATAGTAAGCATAATGTCCTTTGTGCCATCATTAAGTTTCACAATCTTAAAGGCTGGTCAGAAGGCGCTGACAGGTATGTGAATCCATGGATAGCTAGTTACTGAGACTAACTCCTTTTCTCAGAACTAAATTCTTCATGTATAGTGATTATCACATGGCTTATTACCTAATCAACTAAATTATCTCACTAGCTTTCCGCGATGGGGCTTTCCTTAATAAATTAACTCTAGATCTGATATGGCAGCTTTGAGTTTAAAAGGGCTGCTAGTTACTTCCCCTCTAATAGAAGCCCAAGATCCTTAATACCCCTCTCCTTTAATGTATTAAGTATACTCTGCATGGCTATAAGCTCTATAAGTTATTACTAATGATGTATAACTTAAGTTAACAAGCTCTCAGGGAGTAGAGTTGCATTTGGTGCGAGTTCGGGCGAGTTCAACCTTAGTTGGACCCGAACCGCTGCGGTTTCAGGTCCAAATTTTAGAACTCGAAACCAAATCAAACCCGATGCGATTCGGTTGCGGTTTAACCGCAAAAACCCGCCGCTAGGCCTACCTAGGTATAGCTAGGCCTATACTAACTAACCATGGTTAGATTCGGTTCAGTTTCGGGTTGGTTAAACTGCTAATTTTAACTATTTTAACCCTTACCATTCCCCCCAGGGGCCCTATCTAAGGCCCCTTACCAAGCATGCTTATATAAATTTATAATTTTTATATGAAATATATAGTAATTATGATCATTCTAATCTATATTAGAAATATTGATTCAATATCTATAGGGTTGAATGGGTGGTGGTTAAAAATTATTTAAAGTATATAGTAGTTGTCGGACCTTGGTGCCCATATATATATATCTCTGTACTACTTTCATACCAACCTATTACAGAAATGATTATTCCCTTATATCTCAGCAACCACTAGGTATTTTTAAATGATATTTATATCACTAGATAGCCCTTAATTTAGGCTATCTAGTGATATTAATATTATTTAAGRATATTTAGAATTTAATGATTTCTAGGTAAAATGGTGCRGGTTGGTTAAACCCAACTCGAAAAACCGCAGAAACYGTAACCGACGGTTTTCACCTAACCYGGATCGGGTCTGAGGTAGCCTAACCGAACCCAAAGCAGTTCCCTAGGCTTACCCCCGAACCCGCACCGCTGCGAGTTCGGTGAGGGTTGGATTCGATTTTTGCGGGTCGGTTATGCAACTCTATCAGGGAGCTAGGTCAAGATGCTAAGTTTAAGGATGATATTAGCTATTATAACTACTAGTGCTAGACTGCTAATGAAGTTAACTATATATTTTCCCCTATAAAGATAGCTCTGCTAAATAAAAGTACCCTCTAACTATATCTAACTTAACCTTAAAGGGAACTTCATAAGCTAGGAGCGGTAGAGAGTGATAGGATAGTCCAGTAATATGGTTTTTAAGAGGCATTACTAGTCATAGTTTATTGGCCGCGATCTCCAGTATGTAGTGCTTCTCTAACCCTCTAAGGAAGGTCTTCTTTGGGCTGCTGGAAGCATGCTCAGGAAGAGGGAGGTCCTTGCCCTATTAGGTCTTACTAACCAGCAGAAATATACTATTTACTAAGACCCTAAAATTCTAGAGCTTAGACAGGAGTAGAGGGAGCTAAAGGAGGAGATGTAATCACTAGCTAGTATAGTAGTGAAAGCTCAGGAGTAATTCCCTCATCTATATGAAAGATATGGGGCAGTTAAAAAAGAGCTCTCTTAGCTAAGGAAGAGCCTGATCAAGGATACCCGTGAGATAGCTAGAAAAGAATATTTTCATAATAAGCTGGTGCTTGAAGTTAATAGATAGATTAAGCAACTTCTTAGCTAGTCTGATACTAAAAGTTATAAAGATAATAACTCTGATGATAAAGACTGGGATATTCCTATTCTAGAATATATCTTTCCTGAGTGAGCATAACTTATAAAGAATTTCTATAGCCCTGAAGTAGAGTGCTTTAATGTAGATAAGCTACTTACATGATATATCTAGGTTACTAAGGACATGGTTGCACTCTTAAAGCTCTATGAATCAAGCTGGCAAGGCAACTGAAGTAACTAGGCTGTGAGTGATGATGCTGAGGCTAATGAAATTAAACATAAAGAGTCAAAGGAATCACCACCTTCTGGAGAAGTGGAAGCCCTGAATTGCTAAACAGATATTTGTATTGTTTATTGCAGTTTGTTGCAGTGTTTGGCATCTAATCCACCTCCATATAGATTCCCTCCTAGGCAAAAAGATTCACTCTGTTGCCATCTCATTGATATTTATCTCAGCTGTGTGCATGATGGGATTAGCTGCACCTGGGTGGCCTGCTGCAACATCCCTAAGTTTATAGAGGCTACTGAATTCTTAGCACATGCTGTTAAAGTACACTTATATGACCCTAAAATCAAATTAAAACATCTCCTAAAGAGACCTCAGTTAACTTGCAGCAATACTTCCTCCATCAACAGCATAGACACTTCTCTGGAATCATATGGGCGGTCAGGTACTAGCACTCCCACTTCCTCTGTTGATCCTGAGATGGCGAATATCAACCCACGCCTATCAGAACCCAACAAACCCGCCGCTACTGAGCCTCCACTGCGTCGCTCAAAGAGATTGCGGCTTGAATAGTAGCGTGGGATGATGTCTAGTGCAGCCGTTGCCACCTGAGCACAATGTTCTGTTAAGTCAGCTGCTGGGATCCTTTTTATAGAGAATATTTGTTGGCGTCTACCGGTGTATATATAGCTAGTCTCAGGTACCTGCCAAATGCACCTTGTATTCTTAGAATTCCTCGCTCTTGAGTAGTAAGAATGTATCGCAATAATTGGGAAGTATCCATGCATGCTTTATCGTAATTGAAGTCGGCTTCCCCCGTCGCTGATGCAATTACTTTATCTGCTTCCAAACGAAGCCCCTCAACGTCGACGGGCTTCACATCGGATCGAACCGTCCGTTTCGCTCCTCAGTGCCAACGAATTGAAACTCCAGACCGCTGTATCAGCTACTTGTTCCTAGAATAGACCCAAGTCATTTCTTACCTCGACTTCTCGCACAGACGTAGGCCCATAGAATGGGAGCAACGTTTTCCCATCTTGTGTGGCACAACCCAGCGACAAACCGAAGAATGTGATTTGGCAAAAGCCTTTGCCACCGCATTCCAGTTTCATTGTCGCTCCTAATCTATACAATCGACGCAGCCTACTTTAGCTCATGCCTTTATCCATCCACATTCCGAGGCGACTATCATTGTCTACTTTCTCTGCATCAAAATCGATACATCCACCAAAGCCTCCATCTCCTTATTGTCATTCAGCAATTTGGATCCTCCATTTCTTCTTCTGTATGTGGCTTTCTGCGGCTTGATCAACTAATTCATTATGGATTTTGGGGTCCGTATCTCGTGTATGATGATATGAACTACGAATGTACTATCTGTGAACGAATCTTCTGCTCTGAATCTGCACTTTACGCCCATTGCAGGCAGACATGACAGCATCAATGGTGTGAAATGTGTTGCCGGGTTTTCGTTTCGACTCAAGCGAAATATAAGCATATTAAAACGTCCAGCAGACATAATGTCTGTTCGATCTGTCCTCAACTACAAGGCTTTGCTACTGGTGAGGAGCTTCAAGACCATTTAGTGAAGACTCATCACTTCTGCCCAAAGTGCAACGTCTATTATGATTCTGTTGAGCAACTGCAAGAACATGACATTAACCAGCACCACCTTTGTGTCAAATGTGGCGACTACTTTGCGAACGAGAATAATTTGCAAATGGTACTACTCCAGCTAGAGTTGAATACTTCAATTTATTGATTGCTAACAGTACCGTTTCTTCAGCATCAACAGAAACATCGACCTCGAAATTTGGAATGCTACGATTGTGACAAAAGCTTTAAATCTTTTCCCGGAATGCTAATCCATCTGGAGTCGGGAAATTGCGCGTCGGATACTGCTGAGGAGGAAATTGACGATATAGCCCACGATTGTTACCAGAGCCGGAAGTATATAAATGATGATACCGGGGACGGAGGGCAGCTCTACAGATGTCCCAGCTGCGAAACGAGTTTCTCAAAGCTCTCTGCACTTTACCAACATGCAGAGGATGTCCCTCCGTGCTCTTCTCCTCTTAATGGACACGGTTGTCTTGCTAAGCTGGAACGGTTTGTTGCTCTCAGATTACTACAGGAGCTTCGCGTCTTTCTCTGCGTCATTTTCTCATTATGTTAGACAAGAACGTCTTTCGGTTGCTATCTTCGATATTTTAAGCAATATAAAGACTTCCTGAAGGCGCTGGTGCCTCAGGAATAAGGCTCTCCCTTAGTGATGTCCATGGGCGTGCCGGTGGAAATATTGTCCATAATGATTCCGTGATGCGGACCTCGACTGATGCACGTCACTTTCCTCATCGATTACCGAAACAGTCTCGTCTTCGGCTCGGGTGGCCAATGTTGCGGATGCACTGTTTGAGCCTGAGGCAGGCTGACCATCGCCGTCCAGAAGAGTGAAACCGACTGAATCTGTGTCATCCCACTTCCAACCATCTGACTCACCGTTGTTCTCTTGGGCCGGGCTCTGGGCAGGTCCATCCGAGCCATCCCGCCGCATGAGAATGACATGGTCCTGCCAATTCTTGGGAATGCGAAGCTCTGTTGGCCGTTAGCGAGCCAAGAACACAGAAACTGATTACAAAAGAAGCTGTAAATGAGCGCAACACGCACCTTCCACCTGCCAGAATCGAGGATGCATCTCCGGACGACCTGTGTACGAGTCATCGTCGCCATACTTCCCGTCTCGCCTGGTGAGATCCGCCCCCGTCGAGTCCCCATACACAACGTTACACACTATTAGCTTGATGTAGTCGACCCCCATGGCGGTCGTTCTCGTCTGATAGCCGTCATCTAGGTGGCAGAGGGCGTTGTACGTGCCCGAGGACAAAGAGTAGACACTGTTGCTGCCAAAGGTGTTGACGCCGCCGGCGATGCGGGCCCGGATGAGGTTCTGATTACCCGCGAGGTAGCCCCCGTAGGTTCCGAGGAATGTGCCTGTGGGGTTGCTGCTGCTATCGAACAGGTTTACCGTGTATTGGCGTGGAAGGGGACCGCCCCATGGCTCAGTCTGCCACATCTGGTTGTTGTTGGTCTATACAGAAGGGAAAAGGGAGATATCCCGGTTAGCTCAAGTCTGCCCCACCACCAATAGGGATACAGGAAGACATGGAGAGTCAATGAGGACTGACCTTATCCCGGATGTATATAATTTTCTGGGTAATGTAAGACTGGTAGGTTTGCTGTTCCCATGGCGTGCAAGAGGTACTCTAGAAAGACATGGTCAGCCGGCTTGATATCGAGGAAACTTGGCGTTGGGAGAACTCACGGCACCGGTTCCACCTTCTGCGGCGCTAACATCCATCTACAGTTAGTATTATGCGATCCCAGCGAGTGAGGACGGTCATCGTGAAAACACTTACGAATTGACTAGCAGATTTCATAATCCTTGTTAGCACAGATCCAAGGGCGCTGGAAAGCAAAGGACATACACGGGAACTCATCGCAGGAAATTGATTCACTCCACCCATACATTCCTGCGGCGTTCGATCCTGCTTGCCGAACCGCAAGAGGCCAGAGCGACCGTTTAATCTGTTTACAGTGGGCAGCCATATTCCCGGTCCCACTTGGATTTCCACAAGCCAGGTCCCGATTGGTGTTGCCACTATCGCGTTTGTATGTCAGACGCATGAACATGGCACCCATGTAGGTTGGCGACCACTGCAATGCGTGGCTATCCAGGTAATTCTGGATATTTATGCAGATTCCTGTTGCCGACTGTTAGCATAGCGACTGCGGAACAAATCAAGGGGGATCAATGGAAATCTTACCCGCCGCCGTGTAGTGGGGCATCGTGTTTTAAGTGGAGGTGTCGAAATTGGGAAAGTCTTTATTTGGGAACCATTCACAGTTGTAGTACATAGCCGGGTAGTGCATGCATTGACCTGTGGTCGCGCATTTGCTGACCAAACTACTCATGCCATCCAGAATCATGCATGATGTGCCATCTGCATCACATAGATAAGGACAAGTCATATTACCGGACGCAGTGCTCATGTCATCGACGGTGTTGCAGGCAATGAGGCCCCCAAAGCAAGCATTTCCAGTGCTATTCAATACCAACGCCTCAACAGCTTCTCTCTTACTAAGGGGGTCACTGCTCGCATAGTTGACGCAGGTTTCTTCCACAAGAGCCAGCGGGTCACTGGGAGAGACAACGTCATATTTGTCACCCCAGTATGCTTCTCCATTGAGGAAGCTGCCGCAGGGTGGAAATTGAACTGGTTAGCCCAAAGTCTAGATACTTCGAGAGGGAAGAGAGCGTATATCACTCACGAGGCCTCCGCCTGGATAAAAATGGAATAGACGAAGTCCGCCCAATAGCAGAATCCAGCACTCATCAAACCATCGCCCGTAATGCTTGCACTGGCACTCACACCCAGCTAAATAGTGTTGGTCATCCCCGCCGTCACATATCCCGACATCAAGTCGCCCCCAAGGACGGAAATGCCGAAGCGGACTTCGGGGGTGAGAGACACTGTAACAAAAGACTCAGTTAAATCGTTCTCTTTGTTCTCGCGAGTTCTGGGCCAGGCATAGACACTTGACTTACATACCAGATTTCCGTGCGCAGTGAGCGATGCGTCAAAAGTCAGCTCAAAGGAGTAAACTTGATCATTGCTGCTGTGCAAGTCCGCTGGTGCAACACTGGCCGTCTTGCCTGCAGCATCTTGAGGAAAGTACACCTCAGTGCAAGCCCAGCTGAGACTAACACCCGCGTTCAGCTCACCTAAGACCTGGAGGGAGGCCTGTATCTGACCTATCAAGCCAATTCAGGACCAATGCTGATTAGACCCTTAACTAAAAGACTGGGAAACCCCGCACTGAAGAGTTTAATGGCACTGGTATTGGACTGCATCACAGCCTCAGCCCAGAGAGTCATGAGAATCTGCAAGGAGAACAGAACGTTAGTATACAAGATCCACTGTTATAGAGAAGGGCCCAGTAACCTACCGCGGCCATCAGTTTGATCAAGAAATACCCATACACTGAGATCAATTTTGGCGTGGGCAAAATCGCTCCCTCAAAATAGTATCTATACTAGGCGTTCAAGGCCAGTTTGATATCCGCATCAATGTCAAAGGTAGCATTAATGTTGGTCTTGGGACACCTAGCATGAGTGTGGAAGAGCTTAATCTTTTCTATATAATCCAGGGGTAAGTAGCCCGACTCATCTTTTATAATTGTGGTCATCTTCTGGAGCTAGTCATTGTACGCCCTGAACCATCTCTTGCGTTTCTTGGAACTGGGGCTGTCGGTCAGCTCCTTCTAGTATTCCAGGAGATTAGTGTAGTTAATGCGAAAGTTCACATCGCCCTTGGCTTCAGCTGAGGCACCGGCCAAATCGTAGTCCACAGTGAGCTTATATATCTTGGTGGTGGACCGTGCCTGGATATTTGAAGACTAGCTCTGAGATCTGAGAGGAACCAGACTGATAACCTGGGCATAATGGCCCACTCTAAGATCCTTGGGCATTTTCACAATGGTATTTGATGCACCACCTTTGAATAAGGAATTACAGTTGGACCTGTTGACAAAGAGGTTGGTGCACTGAATATGGTACGTCTTAACCACATTATCAAACATGTTGTTGTGGTTCTTGAACATACTCAATCACTTGTAGACTTTCAAATCTTACTTAGCAAGCTCCTGCTCATCGGTCAGGAATGTCTATTAGTTAACTAACAACTCATCATAGGCGCTCGTGTCCCCGTCAATCATAATAAATGCGAACGGGTCAGTGGTATCATCACTCATAGCTAGTCAAGTTGTTAGCGGTGGCAGCTCCATAAGGCCACAAATATAAAGGTGACTGACCATCATTGTTGGATGTGCTCTCGACGCTGTAGTAGTAGCTTACATTATCTTCTTCCAGGTAAGTGAACACGTCTGCCGGGTCGACTGGCTAACTATTAGCTCCATTAGGGGGATCGTAGCATAGCTTGTTCGTGCCAGAAGAGTAGATGCTATCGTCGCCCTTAACAGTGTGTGAAAAGATCTCAGTTCATTAAGTAATCAGGACTTTGTCCTTGGGATAGCTGTCATTACAGCCATACCACTTACAGTTCTTATATGTATCTATATAGTAATCATGGGGTTAGAGAGCAACAAGGCGAGGATGAACAGACCGAGTACACACCTTTGGATGGGCAGCAGAACTCAGACATCGCATTACAATCCTCTGTCTTCTGTACCAAGTCTAGTTCCTTTAGCCTCTTTCCGATGCTCGAACCGGCTAGCACGGGGGTCCACTTACTAGTACCCTCATAATTAGTTTCCATCTCGAACGCATACATAGATGATGCACACATATTTCCACAGGTCATCCAGGAGCACTTTTCCAAGGCTAAATCTGTGTTGCAGCAGAGCGAACGCTTTCTGCTGAAGCAGAAGCCAAACCCGGTGCGGTCCAAGTAGGAATCTGCCACCAACTTATACTTGCCCTGGCCACAAGTGCCGCCGCCTGTACACGAGCCATCCTGACTACCTCCTTCCCAGCGACAGCCCTCCGGCATGGAGTTCGTCAGGCAGCAGATTAAGCAATACTATGCGTCACTCTGTAATTTGGTTCCGACTTTGCAGAGTGTTTTATCTGGGTTCTGGATCATGCCTAGGGAGGCGGAGTGCATGTATTCAAGCACACTATATCCTAACTTACACTGACCAGTGTTCTAATCCACACAGTCTGAGATGTAGCAGTCCGTTCCTGTATAGGCAGAATAGAGGGTCGCGAGGTCCTGCGCGGTCTGGTCACTCATAGAGCCACCAGTAAGCAGGTCCCCGCTAGCGACTTCCTTACCCAGCAGGCCGCTGAGAGCTTACCAGTCATATATATCCTGGTCCAGCGACCAGATCATCACACCCCCCAAGCAGACTTCATTGGCATAGGCAATCTTCTGCTGGAATGTGATGTTGGTATTAAACAAAACCCACTGGGTGGATGAGTCCCAGATCATGTAATTCACTGCATCAGTGTCATCAAGAAAGACGACCGCATCATCAGAATTCATATACTCAACAATCTCTAGAGGTTTTTCTGCATTAACACTTATCTTTAAGGTGAATGCAGCGTGCGAAGAGGAGAAGTCTGAAGTTATACCTTTATAAGAGAGGACGCCTGCTGTGGCAGTACAGGGACCAGCATTTCCAGCATAGGAGAATGCACAGCCTGGCTCTACGCAGGAGGGATCATCTACAGTGAATAAATAACCATAGAACCCAGTGCCCATCACGATCTTGGATGGCTCCACTCCGGCTTGCCACATCAGGTCAAGGGCCAACTTGATTTCGGTAAGATTCATGTGGGCCTGCATCACCTTGCAAATCCATCTGCTGTGGGTCGTTAGTATCAGTCTCAAGCCCAGATGGCATCTAGCATATTGATCTCACATACCGGTCCAAACCATCCCACACCCTATGCAGATCATAGGTCATCAAGTTGGTCCAATCAGCACCCGCGTCCAGCATGTTGGGCACGTCAAAGTATTACAGGTACTAGTAACTTGCCGGTGTGGTAAAGGTGATCCCATAGCTGGTCCCCAAGGCATTGAGCACCTCTCAGAGCGCCGAGACCAAGTAAATATAGTTGAAGGTATCTTCCGGTCTGCCACCACGGTCCGTCACCACCGGATACTCCTAGTTGAGATCCACACCGTCAAATCCAAAGGTTTGTAACGTGAACAAGACGGATTTTAACTAACTCACGCGTCCCGCCTCTGTGCTGGCCATGTCGGACCAGAAGGACGCAGTGGCCCTGTCATTGAATAACCAACCCCTGATTGACAGATAGACCGAGAGACCCGGGCGTTTTAACTTCAGGTTGACCAGGTCATTCATGATCTCGACCTCATCAGCGACGCCAGACATTAGGCTAACCACCCATTTGTCCGCAATACGCTTGAATGTGGCGAAGGCATAGTTGATGTGAGTCAGCCCATCAAGAGCGAGGTTGCTGGGGCTCCATGAGTCGCAGGTTTAGTTGTTTGCCCACCCTTCATAGTAGCCAATTACTCGCTGCAAGACATCGTTGGAGGAGCAGGATGGGACCGTGGGAGGCCCGCAGTTGTCACCCTGGCATCCCGTGCCGCAGAAACCATCGGTAGTGCTGCAAAAGCCCCATTCCGAGCAACACACATTGAGTGGGCACGTCGCACCGGGGCTAGATGCATCCTTCCCACAGGGTGCCGTGGCATTGCAGTTGCTGATACATATATCACCACAGAAGTCACCGTATCCACAAATCTGGATCAATGGTATATCTCGTTAGTTGATGGACATTTTCGAGGGTCTATTACACGGGCACGTACACCTTATCCATCGCTTATGCCACAGCAGGCACCATTGTAGCAAGGCGCGGTTGCATTACAATAGTAGGTCATCTGAGCGAGTACAGAAATTGAAAGGCTGAAGAGGAGCAGCCACTGGATGATTCGGGGTCTCCATGCCTCCGTGGAAGGTCGCCAAATCATGGCAAAAAAGAAAATAGGGCTAGAGGAAGAACATAGAGGAAAGAAGTGTCGAGAGACAGATGGGTCAGGTAAATGAGTGAGCGGGCAGAGACACTAAAGGACAATATTGACCTCAACCTTCCGATGAGGGTCCAGTCACTGCCCACTTCTCTTTATATGCCCCGAGACAATCTCGGTCCAATTGAACATTTTTTCCCTCATTTTCCCTTGGGCTAAGGGCTATGAGCTGGATAGGTTAGCACCTCGCTTGTGATGTCTATCCGCAATCCTCCTAGTTAAGTATGTACTGTACAGACCGTACCGGTATTACCAGACCGCAGGCAACTCCACATGAAAGGCAAGCTTAGTGACTCTGTATACCGCATAGGTCGACTGTTAGAGCAGGACCTATCTTTATTCAACGGCTTCCCAGTGCACAGGGCTTGTCGTGAAAAAGGATGGCACGCTCAAAATGCTCACAACAACGCTCCAAGAGAGTCGAAGAGCTTGAGACTGGCCGAATGTACCCAGGGATACACAGTAATTAAATTCGGGGTTGTGGAGCGACTCTAGTTAGTAGTAGTGCCACTAGTTCTGCGTAGTACCTGATCTAATTGCTTGACCTCGGTGTGCGGAATACTACAAGTCGCCCCTGGGTTGGTGATTTTTTGGTAGCTAAATTGAGAAGAAAATTCAATTGGAAAGATTTCTTTGTATCTCTTTGCATCAGTTGCGAATTCAGTGGGAAGTCATACTCCCACCCACAAAAATGGCGACCTACGTGACAGCAAGGAAGCAGCTTCTGGGTTGGCTCTTGTGGCTTATCTCTTTTGCTCTTGTCCATGCGGCCTCGAACAACACATTGTTCATCTACACATCATCCACCCTGAATTCCTCTCTGTTCTCCACCACCTATCTTTCTACATTAACTGCCAGCGTGCCATGTTACTCCGGTCTTGGAACCGCAGTCTTTCAGACCAGCCGGTGGTCATCGAACGCCCTGGATCTCATTTGTGCTGATACCTGCCAGACGGCCTTGAACAGTTATGTTGCCACGGTGGACACTACCTGCGGTAAGGATACCTTGTATAATATATCTGGGTCATTGCAGACGGCCAGTGATGCCGGGAGTGAGATGCTGTGGAAGCAGTCCGTGACTTGCCTTACGGACGCATCATCCGGCGAATACTGTAATAGTCTCTCCAAACCGCCAGCAGCAACGGAGTGAATCTGACCTGCAGTGATTGCGCTCTGGACTACATGACGACCCTCGTCAATGCTCCGTGGGGTCAGCAGCTCCTTGATTCAGCMTCTGTAAGCAGTCAGATATCCCGCTGCTCTTCGAGCAGCTCCTATAGCGTGACCTACACCGCAAGCTCAAGCCCGGCGGCGACGACGAGCGCCCTCGCTGGTGCGGAGAAGAATGTGCGGTGCAATATCACGAACCCCAGCTCGACTCTCTATGTTGCCTCAGCCAACCAAACATGCTTGCAAATTTCGGCCGCTGCCAACGTATCCACTCCGTCCTTGGCGAGCATCAATGCTCTCGGGCCGAATTGCAGTTATCTGACGGCGAACCAGACGTTATGTCTACCCGAGGTCTGCGATATTTATATGGTCTCTCCCAACGATACCTGCGCGTCCATTCTCGGGAATTTACGACGAGAGATCTCGATCCCGACTTTCCGGTCCTGGAACCCCACTATCAATTCTGCCTGCTCAAATTTGCAGGCTTTGCAGGGACAGTATATCTGTCTGAGGTAAGGTCCTTGGAGCCAACTCGGCTTGTTGCCGGAATTCGGATTGGTTCACTGACCATTCCCAGCCCTCCGGGTACTACCACTATCCCTAACAGTTTTGCTCTCAAGGCTGTCACGACCGCTGCGTGAGTAATGTGTCCGTGATGCCTGCCTTAACATCGATTGACCAACCTTAGACCGGTTCCTTCCAACGCCGTTACGACTTCCAACACTAACTGTGGATACTGGTACACAACCCAAGCTGGCGATACCTGTGACACGGTTGTGTCCATGTTTTCCATGTCCGAGAGCGACTTCTATTTCCTGAATCCTCAACTCGGCAACAATTGTTCCTCCTTGTGGCTGGGGAATAGCTACGTAAGACAATCGCTGGCAACACTCCGATGGCTTGATTTACTGACCCTGGGCCAGTGTGTGCAAGCAGTCGGCAACATTCACACGTACTCCAGGTATCCCTCGAGCTCCATTACCTCCTTGCCGGCTTTACCTTCCACAATCAACGTTAATGCCACGGTGACAGCAAACCGCACCACATCGTAAGCCAGTTCCAGAGAGAAGAGAATACAAACGAGGGAGAGAGCATCACTAACCAGGAGGGGATTTTCTTTTTGGGGGGGTTCCTGTTCCAGCTGGCTTCTTTCCACCGGACTATCGATCTCTACTTCCACCTGGACATATAATGACACTGTGTATGAGATGACCAAGGGCTACACGCTCTGCCAAGACGCAATGTCCTACTACAGCCTCGATACCGACGATTTGAACTTTAGCGATCTCATGGCCAACACCGCCTGGTTCAGTGAATGGGATCGCGTGTGTGACTTGGACCTAAGCCAGCCTACCCCCACCATCCCCTTCAACACCAGCATTCCCCTGACCACCGCCAGTGAGACGGGGACGGCTTCGGTTTCGAGCAATGCTGCTGCAGGCTCGACCTCCACCATTGTCTCGGCCTCCCGTACGGCAATCTCGACCTCTTCGTCGATCAGTCAAACCGCCACCTCGACGACCTCGACCTCTGCTGCGTCAGCGACGGCTACCGGTTTGGTCATCTCCCCGAACGGCACTTGCGGCGGAAGCACGGGGTTCACATGTGCGCAGTCTGGCTTTGGCGATTGCTGCAGTATTTGGGGTGACTGGTAGGTCTTGTGAAATATCTCGAAGCTCGTTTTGGACCCCGTTTCTGACCTGCCTTGGCCAGTGGTTCCACCAGCGATTATTGCGCCGCGTCCAGCTGTGACTCCACCGCGGGAGTTTGTGCTGGTGGTGTCTCCCCAAATGGTCTCTGTGGGGCGAGTAACAACGCCTGGACCTGTTTCAATTCAGGCTTTGGGGATTGTTGCAGTACTTACGGCTACTGGTAAGCGCACTCACATTCACATTATTAGGGGGTTTTTCGCCTTCCGCTCTAACCCGACTCTGGTCTACAGTGGATCGACTAGCGATTATTGTGGCGCCAATTGTGATTCCAAGTATGGCCCTTGCTCCGGGGCAATTTCACCTAATGGACTCTGTGGCGCCAATAATGGTGGTTATACATGCTTCGGCTCCGAGTTCGGATCCTGTTGCAGTATCTATGGGTATTGGTAAGTGAATAATGGTCAGGCTAATGACCGTCCGAGTCCGAGGATAGACTAACCGAGATTACAGTGGCTCCACCGACGCTTATTGTGCATCGACCACGTGTGATCCTTCCTATGGCGGGTGTAATTCAGGGTGCAGAGTGCAGAGTGCAGAGTGCAGAGCAGAGTCTGCGCAGCAGACTGATGAACAGGTGAGGGGGCCCACCCACAATGAATAACCTAGCCTCGTGGGGTACTACTTGGCGCATAAATAGGGGGTATAATACCGCTAGATAAAAATGCACCATGGGCAAGCATTCTTAGTCTATGCAGTCATTCATTTATTGTTCCGACACTAACTTGGGGTCTTGTACAGTGGGGGTTCAAACGTATTTGATCCCCTAGAAGCCCGCTAGGATCACCAAAGGGGGATCAAATACTTTTGAACCCCCGCTGTAATGACCGGTAATGATCATACTGTACTGTAATACGATCCACTTGTATCCACTCGTACTACTACAGTACCTAGGCCCTTAATCGTTAGTATGTCTCACTGCTTCGGGCTACGAACCTTCATGATTTCTACGTGCAAGCTCCCACTTCTCTGCTCCTCAAAATTCCTACGGTTAACTCCCTCCACGAACACAAGTTGAACTCAACGAAATGTCGCAGCCGATATCGCTAACATCTTGGCCGGCGGGCATTTCCGGGATCCGCCTGCATCCGACGGATTTATCCCGTAACGAGCTCGCGGAAGAGGCAAAAGGGTGGTTGCTATTCGTACGGGTACGGAAGTCTGTGGCACGGCGCCCGTTCACTTATGATATGTGGCATTGACGGATCAAATCACTACAGGAAGAATCCCAGCCAACCTCAACCCCCGGAGATGGGTTACGTCAACGGCGAGCCCTCGTCGAGAAATGGGCCACCGTCAGTCAGGAATTCCGCGAGGTCCGTATAGCCTATTTCGCTAGGTTTCGACTCCTTCTCCCCTTCTGTTTACCTTACCTCTCTCGCTTCCTCGATTTGAAAGTGAAAAATTAAAATATATCTAGCACAGTCCTACCATAGTCGTGCCCCAGCATACAACTCAGCTCTCGACTACCCGGCCTCGGTGCTCTCACAGCTAGCCCCATGCCCGGACAAGCGCTTCCTGTGTCTGGCACCCGTCGACCGGCAGGCCCATCCCCGCAACTATATCCACCTCGTGAAGTTCCTGATCCTGTTATACGTCCACCAGGACTATTGGCAGGGGACGCATCCCTTTGACATAGGGGGTGCTGGCGACGCCCCCCGCTGCCACATTCCGGAGCTGCTAGACCTCGCCGAGCCTACCGCGCTTAGCGAGATCCTCCCTGCGCTGTATCTTAACAGAGCAGATTTCCACGCCCTCTCGATGACTCGGTGTGGCACGGTGGTGTTCGCCGACGGGCCGGACTACACGTGGTACGTGATCGATGCACCGGGGCTAGCTACAGGGCGGATAACCATCGTAGAGTTTGGCTCCAACGGACACGTCCGCGAGTCGATCCTCCGTCGACCTTGGAATATGGGCCAGGTGATCTCCTTCGGCCAGATTCTGGGTCGTCGAGTCGTGGACTTAGCTGAGTCGTCGATTGGAGGTCCGCCACGGATCAATGAACCGTACGTGCTTTTCCCTAGCATTCTAGCTCGCTTTTTGTCTTCTAACAAGGGTTCTGTGTTGGTGTGGATAGCTTGGACATGGACCGTCCTATTCTCGAGCTCTTAGAGTCAACCCGACAAAGCAACAAGTTCATGGACGAGGGCTACGGACATCCGGACCTGTGGGTGCACATTATCGAGCGGAGTGCACCCGGATATCTGGAGCTGGAGGCCCAAGGGCGGGAGGTGGAATTCGAGCTTGATAATCTGCTGGAGGTTAGATAATCTGTGGTGCATGTTGTTGATCTACACAAGTTCGCTCGAGGCTAGTGTGTAGGCCTCGAAAAAGCCCGCGGGCTCACTGTTCCGGCAGAAAACTAGGTTCGGCCCGTGTCTTGGCACCCTGGCCTGTTTCTTGGCACCCAAGCCTATTTCTTGTACCGTGTAATGTATATACCCACTTCATAGCAGGCAAAAATCACGAAGCATGTCGATGATAATTGATGCCCCAATATCATGAGATGACCAGGATCATGAGGCCTTCTCAGCTCGCGAAGAGAAATATGGCCCGAATGGTCAGATTGTCCATTTTTAGAATCGGCGTACTGCTTGTGAGTGAGGTCCTGCCAGCTGGCGAGACTGTTCGAAAAATCCATGTGAGAAACAACGATTCTCTCGCGATCAGATTTTTTGTCCATCCGAGTCTGAGTGTTTCATTAACAGATATGCTGAGTTATCCCAAGGGAAGCAGCTTTCTTGTTGAGTTACTTAGCGCCCCTAACATCAGATCCTTGATGAGAATACCATAATGAAGTTTAGTGACCAAGGGAATTAATGTTCGAGTATGAATGACCGGTTGAGCTGTACTCCCCCCACGAGCACATAATCTGTTCTTTTCCATAAGCTATGCAGTATTTCTGTTCAACAAAGTAGATATAAAAGCCTTCATGGAATACCGTTCTACAGTTACATAGTAACTGTAAATAGTAATCTGGGCATGTTTTTAGTGACGCCCCTTTTGGCGCCCACGGCTCCAAAAAAAAAAAAAAAAAAGCAATAAGCTAATACGAGATCTCCCCAGCTTTGGTTCAAATCCGATGCGTATAAGCGTATAACTATGCTGACGAGCCTGGGGTGCCCTGATGTATTCATGGTATTGTAGATGGACTGACATATACCCTCTTAGATACATATATGGTAGCTTTATACAATAATAAAAATTAGATCTGACTTGTAAGCTCGACTTCGCGGCTACCGGCGGTGTACAAAAGAGCAGTTTCATCTCCTTGGGCAATCTAGCTTGAGAAGTATCAATGACAGTAGGATGAGATAACCATAATAGACATTTTGCTCGATGATAACAATGAACTTCTTCCCACCAGACTTCACTGACCAAAAATGGTACCACTGGGATGTACAGCTTCTGGTGACAAATTCACTTATCCAGATAGTCAGACATTCATCGCATCTCGACGATGCTATGTCTGTCTGGATCAGGACAGGACAAGGGAGGCCAATCAATACAAAAGTTACATTAGCAATATTTAATGAAAGCAGTGCCTCTGTATCTGTTTAAATTTATTTACAGTGACGGTCAAGAGTAATTACAAGCTAGGCTTCTCAGATGACCCACGCGATACAAAAGGAGCATTATATTCATATCTGATATAACAAAAGCCGGTGCTCCATAATATCAAGCAAACTATTCACTTCAAAGGAGGGGATTAGCCCTTGCAAAGGAAGAGTCATTCACTTCTTGCCTGCGGTCTTCCAGGAGTATCCACAATCTCTAATATAAAAGGAGACTCAGGCCTCCCTAAAACCTGATTGTCTTCACTCATGCATGGAAACCAGCCACTCCCCCCACCTTATACTAGTATCAGTGCTGTCGTGTTCATGTTATGCCTGATCTTGCTGTCATGGAGGCAACTTTACAAGTTTGATATATATGACTTTGACTATTTGAGATGCTGGTCACCTGACAATGCTGGCAGCTATCTATTTGATGCTGCGAGCAACTGGGATTTTCTCTGGTAACTTGCGTGGCACTCGTTCTTTTAGGTAGGCGTCGCCGGCAGCTGCAGATAACATGATATCTATTCTTGGACATAAACTAATTGATGTACCAGTCACAGGATAGATATCTTCAAGAAACGTCCTGGAGTCAAACCTGGCCAGCTTGCCAGCTGCAAGCGGCCTGACACCGAGCTTTCAAGAACCCATATACCAAGAAGGCCCGCGATCTTCTCAACGCCACGAACCCAACTGAGAGACAGATCGTGCATAACCATCATTTACGGACTCACTGTATCTGCGACGGCCGTCTTGTTGTAAAAGGGAAAAACCCAAGCACTTGCGGAAGGACGGTCCGCTCCTTGTGCTGTAGTGCAGCGGACCCACAAGCTCAAGCAAGGAATGAAAATCTCCGTGGACCAACTCTGTACTCTGACACAGAGGGTACCCATACTTAATCATAGAAGCGAGCGTATCCGAGTCAATGCCCAGATTGAAGGCGGACACAGTCTGGTGGTCCGCGAACTCGAATGGTCCATGAAGTGAGAAGGGGCGCAGCACCGGCAACGAGGCATTTGCTCAATTACTAAGTTCCCTTGGTGACAGGAAATCCACTGATGATGGAAACAAAGATGAATCTACCGATGGATATCTCAATGAGGAGATCGATATAAATTCAGGCTGCACTGATAACGAGGCATTTGCTCAATTGTCATGGTCCATTAGCGACAGGGAATCCATGGATAATGGAAACGAAGACGAGTCTACTGAGGAAAACCACAATGAGAATATGATATAGATGTATACGAGACGGGGGGATTACAACCATGATAGAGAATGTAGATTTCTTTACTGATTATGATGAGTACATTCACGAAGATTCGGAAGATGAACAGACGATGGCACGCTTTTCATAGCATCTGATCCTGCGAATCTCGATGATCATACCACAGGTGAGGTTATTCCATTGTATAGTCTTTGTAACTTTCTGCTGACACAGTAATGGCAGCAGAAAATACCGAGCGGTTTGCTATACGGGTCACTGAGATCATCAAAACCTTCATGTCTATTGTCACTCAGGCGGGCGATGTCCCCAAGTCTGCGACTATGTTCCGGGACATTCAACGGCACGATCCTGATGAATTGGTACAAACCGTTCTCAAATACTTCCCATATCAAGTCCAGATCCTGCTTGGTAGCACGGAGACTAAGACCGTCGCAACTCTCATCCAGCAATAACCACGTCGAAAGAAGGGCAATGAAAGCGGTGTTTACGCTCTGCTGGGCCAAAAACGAAAGGGATATGCTGTGTATATTGGATGCTCTGATCAGCTTACAAGAAGGTTATCCCAACACTGGTGTTCTATTTAAAGGGACATAACCGACATAGGGTTTATGCAGTGTCGGAAGCGCTGACAACACTGGTGAACGCGGGATCTCGTGGTCCGAATTGGCTGGACAGGCCTTTATCGTTACTCATTCTTCGCTGAATCCCAAGCATTGAAGGACGCTGTGACCACAAAGGCTGCAAGCTTAAGAAGGCGGGGTCACCATCAATATATCCCGTGATTCGCATCTGGATCACCACTGCTGTGGCCGGGCTGTTTCCGGCTTGCCATAACCCAGCAATGACGACTGTGTGACCGGCGACACTACCAAGATGGTAGTGATTGTGGTCTGTGGGAGGTTGTGGTAGCGGCTCGTGTTCCTCATCCAGCATTTCCAGCGCAGCAATGAGCTCTACCTCCAGAGGGCAAACCCATCCAACTGTGTAATCCTCACGGGTGAACTTTTTCTTCCGTGACTCTGCGCCATTCTGGGCTGGACAACCACCTCTTTGTCTCTCTACTTCTCTATCGTCCGCGTGATTTGCGCGCTTGAGCATGTTGTCGATTTATCGAGACTGTTATATCAGATGGATGTGACGCTTCCTCCAATAATCGCAATAGCACCGCAGAATCGGTAACGCACACTGGAAGGATATTCAAGAAGATTAACAGCGTCGGCGAGGCTGAACTGAGGGGTCTCTGGGAGTCTTCATATCCCTGATCAGCGCCCAAGGCTGAAGCAATAACAGGATAAGCGCCAGGGGCATGCTACCAATCGCAAAACACCACATCAACTTCGCAGCGCATAATGGAACAAAATGATTCGATGTATTGTTTTTGCAAGTCAGCTCACCTTTTCGATGCCTGCACCTCATTCGTCAGCCTTGAGAACTCTGTAAGGAGCATGAAAATTCCTCCCGCTTTACCATCCTTCTAGAGAGCAGAATCCCCACGCTGCGAGCAAAAAGAGGATTCTATGACCGGCGTCTAGACTGCTCTCGGTTATATATTCGGTTGCCAGAGCCGTCGCCCATGGTTTGAAGTGCCGATTTTGCGGCCATGCAGGGAGATTGTTGCGCCAAATTTTAATGACCTAACCAGTGCGAAGTATAGTTATCAGTCCAGGCCATAGGTATCATTCAATACGTATAAAGCAAAACTCTTAATGACATGAGTAGCGTTACAGAATATGAAGTGTACGCTTACACATCAAGATGACATATATCACCACTGCTGTACTTCCTGTATGCTGAGTTCCTCAAGCAGAGCAACATACATCTGTGGCTATGAAGATAGATTTATCCCAATGACTAACATGATGTTACGTTCTAACACATTAAGACACTGGATCACACGAATCAGCGAAGCCTGAGCGGCAGTGGCCTTGAGGCTATGCTATATGTGACCCTTGTCAGCCCGGGATGCCGAGGAACCATAGAGCATGAACCATATCAGCGGCCCACACACCACATCGGATCAAGGGCACTACGGAAAATGCACTGAAGTAGCGATACAGAAAAGAACAGGAAATCCTCGTCATTGCTGTAACCTACAGCTTCAGGGATTAGACATCATCAAGGCAATCATGTATACACGAGACTATATTGACCACAGCACTTTCGGGGTGCTCTGGAATGGAGAGAACGACGATGACCGGTATGATGCCGTTACGGAAAGCCTACTCGCAACTCGAGCAGTTTCTCGCAATGGGATTCGATTAGCGTTCGGCGGAGATAGTAGCTCCTTGAATAGATCCCCGAGCTCTCTGGCTTATTCCCTCCGACAAACTTCCAGAGATAAGATCGTCCATGTCCTTGATTGATCGGATGATCTGAAGGCATGGCACAAGGGAAGAAAGATGTCGGAGGTTTCAGCTTTTGCGATGCCGTAGGGAGTACAAGTCCTATCACATATTCAGTGTTTTCCGCCGCAATGGCTGTCACAGACTGATACACAAGGATGCCACTTTTGGTACTTATCTGGTCTAGATAATCCCCTTGTGGCACCCTACAATCAAAGTGCAACTTGTCATGTCGGCCAACTCATTCCCAAAGCGTCGGTTCTTAGTCTAGATGCCGATTATTATGTGAAGACGGTGTGATGTGATACGGCAACTGGTCCGTCCGTTTTCCAATCGGACTGCAGCTCAGCTGGCCATTACATATGAGATAAGTTATAGGGTTGGTCAAATTGCTTGCCGTCTTATCCTCCTGATCCGTTCTGCACTGATTCAGTTGCTATCAGGGTGATAGCAATCCCTTGCATTGAGTCGCTCTAAGATTACCTTGCGGTATGCATAAATATATGATCAAGCAATCTGCCCATGATGACACCCGCCGTTGATCGTATTGACCTCGTCCAGACGACCAGTCTTTCTCAAGAAACCATCGACATCAACATGGATGGATTTGATTTTGACACAGCTCCGGCCGAATTTCAGAAGGTGCGATGGGTAGTGGAGACGCCATTCATTATCTCCGGGGTTGGATGGACAATGAACTACTGCTTCACCATCCGCAAAGCATACCAGGACCGTATGTCTGGCGTGTCGCTGATAGCTTTGTCCAACAACCTGGCCTGGGAAATCGCCTTTGCTCTGATCAACCTACCGCCCAATCCTTTCCCACGGGCTATCTTTCCTCTATGGCTGTCTATCAATGCCTTCGTCCTATATGCCACCCTCAAATTCGAGAGAGAGTCTGGTTCACATTCCCCATTCATGCGGAGACATCTACCATCTATTGTTCTTATCAGCGTTCTAGGGCTGTTATCTGGCCATCTCGCCTTCTCATCCCATGTCGGTCCATTGGCAGCTCTCTACTGGGGCGGGATGCTTTGTCAAGTGACGCTCAGTGCCAGTGCACTGGGTCTCCTTCTTCAGCGAGGCCATACGCGAGGCATGTCGTATAAGATGTGGTAGGCTCAACTATTCCCGAGTAATTGATCGCAATTGAACTCGCAGAACCAACGCTCATCTCATTTAGGCTCACCCGATTTGTTGCCTCCGGCGTCACGGTTCCAGGGCTGTTTGTCCGAGCCGCGTACTGGCCTGCAAAATGGCATTGGGTCGACAATGTGCTCATGTACTGGCTTGTGGGAGCTTTCTATTGCTTGGATATAACGTATGGGGTGTGTCTCTGGTATTTCCGCAGAGTCGAACGGAGGTCAACTCGGGTCAAGCAAGGATAATTGTCTTCTGAAATCTCTGTGTTGACCATGCTCCATATTGCTGTGGTCATTGCTGTAGTCTCTCTGAATCTATTGTTCTCGGATGGATATATACATGTGTATATATAAAACTCTGCACTTACAACTACCCCTGGCTAGCCACCAGTGACCCGTTCAGGGTTTCTTAGCAGCTGTTTTCCAGCATATTCCCGGGTTCAGTGTGAACACGGCCCACATAGAGCCTTATATACTCCCAAGCAGCGAATGCTACAACATTTGGCTTCGAATATGCCGCGGGCTTTCCATCTGGGGCATGCAAAAGATCGTCCGTCACTGCATGGCACTTAACAGCTCAGGAAAAGGGCGCACCGGTGATCCACCGAACCATCATGTCGAGTGCAACATCTGGTCGATCTTGGGGGAGCTATTGCCAGCATGTTAGCACCAACTCCTGCTCATTGTATTCTCAACCGTAGATGCCCACCAGATGACCCGCTCCATCCACAGTGACAAGTGCAAACCGCGACTCAGTCTCTGCATCGCCCACACGAACCCGAACTTCCTTCATGGTACCAACTGTCTCATTCTGACCAGTGGCTGAAACAACCGAGTGCCAGGGACGTAGTGGCTTGGACACGAACTCACCCTGACCCTTCCAGGACAGGGAATGCGCCCAGCGGATATTCCCGGCTGTATTGCAGGCGAGATCGAGGTTACCCTGATAAGCCAGGAAATGGACCTGGTTCGCCAGGAGAAACGTGACCAAATCAGAAGTGGACGTCATACCGTCCGAAGTCTTTGCGAACGCTTGAATGACGGCCTCTGAGACCATTTTGTATTCGGTAATCTGGTTTGGGGGAGACAGTGCCTTCCACACAGCTGGTGAGTTTAGATATTGTTCGACTCGTGCAACCTGGATGTAGCACATCTCGTCGATTTCACAGGGCGCCGTGACTGTATTGGGCAGTGCTTAGAACAGATTCATAGATTGCTATGTTTCCATTTGACTTACTGTCAAACCTGTTACGGCCACCTTTACCGGCCTCATCTTCATAGAAACCGATTACACCCTCGTAACACACAGAGAAGGCAGCGCTGCACAATGCTGGGTCCGCATTCTGGACACACACTGCACTGACGTCCATGCATCTGGGCATGTTTGAGGCCATGATATCGCAGCGAGTCTGGTTGAATATGGGCTTCTCCACGCCTGGATTCGTGGTGCAGAGCGTCTCCCAATACCCGAACATTGTATCTCGCGGGGACATGAAGCCATTCCCCACCAGGCACGACTTTAGCTGAACTTGTGGCTCTTTGGGATAAAGCTCATTCTGCCGTATAATCTGAGCGCCGAGGTACGGAATATAGTGACCCTGGAAGGTCAGCGCGGTCTATGTGTAGAAGAGAGAGCATCTTTCGTACCGCATATGACTCCCCGGAAAGGTGGACAGGAAGTTCCTGCAAGTGAGGGAAAGCTTCAGAGACAAATAGCTGCAGAAAGCGGTGCATGTCAATCGCGGCCTCCTTCGAGTCCTGTGGCAGCTCATACCCCTCATCGATGTATGAGAAACCCACATCGACGGGCTGGTCGACAAAAAGCAGCGATGAGTTGCGGGACCAGCCCCATGGGTTGTGGTAGGTTCCATTGCCATGTTCATTAACCAGACAGGGGCCAACCTCCTGGAAGAGACCAATCATACTGGAGTCACCGGGGCCTCCGGTCATCCACAGGGTCAATGGATCGTTGGACGGATCATTCTGGCTCTCAAAGTACCAGAAAAAAAGATGCTTGTGGCCGACATCGAGCCAGCCAGTGTATTGAGGTGAGCCAGCTGCACAGATGGACTCGTTTTGCTGTTTGATTCGGATTGAGTGATCCGGCGAATGGCTGCTCCGAACAATGCGAAATTCATTGTTTTGGTCTGTCGCAGGCCGCAGCACCTCCTGGGTGGCATACGCCAAGCTGAAAAGGGCGAATTGTAGGAGAGAAATGATCATGACAAAGGGAAGGCTGTAGGATAGAGGAGGGCCTGGGGCAAGAGGGTGGGAAATGATTCAATTCTTAAATAGCTAGCAGTGAACAGTGAGTAAGCAGAGAAACCCTGCGCATATAAATACACCAGATTGGCTTAAGAATAAACCGGACTATAATWCTATAGTTCGGAGTTCGGAGTTCGGGCGTGGACAGGGGGCAAGAGCGGTCACATCATCTGGGTGGATATCATGGCACGCTGGATTTGCAGGGATAATTGTAGATATCAAGCCATAGATCAACATCGCACCGCATCCTAGTGGGCCACTTTTGACATACTGATGGTTTGCAACATGACAACACATGCGCGCTATAATGCCGGTACGCATGCGTAACAGCAGAGGAGAAGAGGGTGACTAGAGATATGAACACATAGACGACTAGGTTCATCCAATCATACCTAAACCAATTTGACAACCTTCCTGACAAGAGTAGCAACATGAGTAGCGTCCATTCCGGCCGAAGCCGTGACATTATAAAGATACAAAAACAGCAGAATTTTCAGGGTGTAGGTGAGGACCTTAGTCAGAGTACCTGGGAGGGATATATGGAGGCTGAGAGTGTTGTTGTAGACGTCAATGGAAAGTCGCCAAAGGTTTCAACATGGGGATTCCGAAGAACTGATTGCAAGCGTGGGTGCACATTAAATACTGGTGAATATCCACCCAATCGGGCTTCTCTTCTAGCCTGTCCGTTGCCCCATTATCCATAGCACTACCCTCACAAGGTTCACGTGCCCTTGGGTACGACCGCGCTGAGTCAGCTCATAGTCTAGATTAGTTGACTAGTAGAGCTGCCCTCTGATTCCGTACACCAACCGCACTCAACACTTCATAATAGATTCAGTTCTTTGCACATTGTCCTTTATTGATGAGCGAGGGTTCTAATCTGGTCCTCAGTGTTTTGAATAGAGGCTGTGATATAGTTATACCCCTTTGACACCCACACACTCCGATTTCATCTCAATGGATGTTTCTCAACTTCCGGACATCACCAGCTTGCTCGTCAGGCCAGATAACCCTCCACGAGATTATGTCGAAGGGATGGATTACCCACGATGTGCAGCTCTACACAACTACCTGGTCCAATATGCCTGGCTCGCTGAAGGCCGTCCGCTGGCAACTCTGAATGGCAACAGCACCAACTTTTTCACGGCCTTCGGTGCTGAAGCTGAGGCTCTTCGTCCAAGGCTTGATCCGTCACTGGTGGCTTTCCTTGACACCGCTATAATACCTCCTAGTGATAGTCCTGATGAGTTGCCCCCGCCACTCTCTATTTTCGCATGGGGACTCTCTACGCCAAACAGACTTATTGAGGAATTTGTAGCTGATCTTCAAGACCAGCCGGTTGACAGCCTGGTGCGCTTGTACCCTGTCGACACGGGCTTATCGGCTGAGGGCAGTGGTGGCGGTGTTATCTACCACCAACGCTTCCATCGCGTCGCGATCTTCATGCATCTTGATGCCTATGACTACGGGTTTCCAGTTGAGGATCATCCAGACGTTTGGAACCCACTAGAGACACTGCTCTCCCACTGGATCGACCTTATTCATATTGGAAAAGTTGTGGCTTCGCCTCATAAAGAGCCAGCCCTATTCGACTTCGAGAAGATCGGGCCCTGGGAGTGGCGGCCCTATAGCGAAGCCCAGGTTACTACGTGTGTCGGCGCGTGGGATCGGCTGTGTCAGGCCATCGAGGCGCGCATCTCGCAGCTGCCAAACCCACCATCACTGATCAGCCCCATTTCCGGGACTGATGCGGACAATCCAGAGCCACTGGTCGCATCAACCGTCCTGGACGCCGCTTCGGTGCCCGATCCTTCCTTTGCACGTTCGTTTCTGACGCGCGCGAGACGGCCGTGGTTCCACTACATCGCTCCGGGCCTTCTCCTGCCCCCAGCTGACTCGTCTGGGTTTGTGGCAGCACAGCCATTCACCGTATTGCCCCACTCTCAGCACACCGTACCGCCAGTGTGCCTTTTCCCCGCCGACAGCGGAGACCAGCGTCCTGTCCAGCTCACGAGAACAACAAGCCCATTTTTATTGGCGGACTTCTATTCAACCTCCACCGATACCCACACACCGTCTCGCGTCTCTGCAGGCCTGTATACTGCGGCAGTGGAGAGAAACGGTCTTGACACGGCCGAGGAGGGATTTCGGCTGTTGCTCCCGTTCACATTCAATGATGGTTGGGGCAGGAGCGTAGGCGCACGAAGAAGCGATGGGGAGCTTGTTGATAGGGAAAGCGTTGCAGACCTCTTTCAGCATGGATTCAAGCCTTTTGGTGGTGACTACTACCGCCCTCAGCGGCTGGAGCGTTTGTTGGATTGTTGGCGCAAGCTKGTTGAAGAAGGCGTCTGGTCTGTCGGGCCGGAAGGGGTAGAAGGTACTATCGATACTTTCAGAGATGCTGGGTCGGACCGTTGGGAGGATTATTATATCCCTCCCACATGGTAGATATCCCAGTGCCATCCCGCCTTCAATCCGGAGACGATTTCTGCTCTCTATTCTGCGGGGATGGAGGTGCCAGGTAAGTCACCCGGCAAGACTTGGACCCCACTTACTCCCGAAGGCTTCCTGAGAGGGATATGCAATTTCATAAGAAACCACTCACGAGGACACGCTATCGAACAACTACCATTTTCCTAAATGATGGTGATTTATATACAAATTTAGTCTCAATCCTTCGATTTTCTTTTATATCTTTTCAACCAAGCTAAGAGCCCGTCATATATCTTTATAAAATCCCCAAAGCTTTCGTTGTTTCCTTGCCTGAACTTTGGATCTGCTCTGGATATGGGTTAAAGACAAAAATACTTGATCATGTTCCTTCAGACTCGAGAGACGGAACGTAGAGCGAATCTTCAGGGCGCATCAGCTGGGTTTGTGCACTTGAGTTGCTAATTGGCCGCAGCTGAAAAGTGCCATCAAGATGGAGGGCATAAAGCAATCTACAAGAAAGAAAGCTCCATTGACATGTTTAATGCTGTCAATGACGGTACGCAAACGGCGCGGGTGTCACTACGCTTCCCGATCTCGTCTGGGGCCCAGTCGTACTCGCAGGGAACGTGGGTCGGGACTCGCTGCCCGCCGGAACACCCGTCGTGACAGTGACGGTGGTGGGATCAACAGTCACATTGTCCGAATTGGAATTTTTAAGCGCCTCCCTAGTCCACAAGCCAGCATCTGGGTCGCCCACATACATGTCCACGACCTTGCCCTTCTCGTCAAGTACGATACGCACTTCGGAGTGCGGGTCGTCGTCCTCGTAGATGATGTTGCATGTCCGACCGTCGACAGGTTTGCCATCCAGATCGACAAAGAGAAGATTATCATAATCAAGGTCGAGATAAGCATCCTTTTTGCCATTGCCAAGTGATCTGAGGTCAGCATGGCAGACGCCAGCGGGGTCGCTATGCTTCTCAGGCGATGTGTCGTTGGTGAGAAGGCCTCTTTGGAATATTGTCGGTTGGGAGTCATAAGGCCGGTCCAAAGCGTTCGCTACCGGGGCTGGATCGATGCGCCAGGACTGCCGAGGCCACCCATAGGCATTACCGTACATGCTTATCAACATCGTCTTGTCAGCTATACATTGACTACCTAGTAAAGTTGGGAGGGGGACACATACGGATCATCGTCAAGAACGCGGAAGCCATGGTCAACAGGCGTGGAGGTGCTGATAGTTCCGGGCTGCACGGTGTAAGTGTATGTAGCCCAGCAAAGGGAGTTGGCCGTTTGCTCGTCGAAACCATAAGCATCTATGAAGTGTTTTCCACTGCCAGTACCGCGACTCCCGGGCAGCGGCCCAAACGCCCTGTTTCAAGGTCAGATATGACCGCATGACGGTAGTTTGAGTTTCACATACCAGGTTGCAGGCGGCCCACCGTCATTAATGTTGCACTTGGTAGAGCGGTACGTCGAGCAAGGATTCCATTGCGCCTCCTTCCAAGCCGAGTAATCATTTCCCTGTCTCCCATTCGCAGGGCCGTTGACTAGACGGCAAACCTGCGGGGCAAGATTTCCTGATTCCAAGAGGTTGCCCATAGGAAACTCATCGACTTGACATCGGTATCCTTCGCCTGGGATCAGTACTTGGGCCCGGGTTCGGTATGAGTCCCTGCGCTGGTTTCTCCACTGTGAATACAGACGGTTGCCAGCGCGGCCCCTTGCCAATGGATGATAGACAGTCTGTCCGTTGAGCAGCTCGTTTATCCCCCACCTTTGGTTATCACAAATCTCATCCCAACCCATGTTATAGCGGCACGTATATGTGACCTCACAATCGCAGCTAGTCGACGTGGCGCCGCTGTTAAAGTCGAGAATCGGCCACTGGCCATACGAAGCTCGGCCCGCAATTGTCGTTGGGACGCCAACGTTGGGTTTAGATGGGGATCCGCCGAAAATCCACCCAAGTATGCTGGAAAGAATTGCAAAACCGATGATGGCCGCAGTAGCGACGGCGGCAACGGTCGCAACAGCGCATATTGCCCCCTCCGCAGCAAGGGATAGGCCGAAAGTGAGCGGTGCTAAAAGGGCCGCCGGGATGGCGTCAGCGAGGCAGAGAGCGCCCAATCCGGAGAGTAGCAAGCCAGGGAAAGCACGCTTTTCAACCGCGTGGTCGCGTACATAGAGACTGAGGCCATGATTAGAACCGTCTCGCTTGCTGAGCACAGGAGTCTGGCCATAGAGCAAGAGGTTGCCTGAATTGGTGATCGACGAAGGGACAAATCCCGTGCAGCAATATGCTTGAAAGCCACCAGTACAGGTCAGGTCTTCAATCTGCCCCCCATCGTTCATCTCGTACGAGTTGCTATTACGGGCGACAATGGTGGCCTTGGGGTCAGAGCATGCCGGTGAGCAAGGCATTCCCACGCCCCTGAAACCCTCCCATTGGCAGGTGCCCATCGTGGTTCCCGGGGCGCAACATAGTGTCTGGAATTCACCTGGAGCGCATACGGAGTTCTGCTGGAAGCCAGCAACTTGGCCGCGGGCTTCAGTTACATCGAAATACCCGGTCGTACAGGTCCCTCCGCATAGTGACCAGTAGCAGCTCGACGCAATAGCGTTCTGCAGCGTAGCATTGGCCATCTGCTCCTTGAATGAAGCGGCAGCTGCCTCTGACACCCCGTTTGCTGTACCGATGCCCATCAAGTCGTTCATACTATCGCCAGCTGTGTTGTCCTGATCGATCGACCACTGGAAGAAAGCCTTGGTTAGATGTTTTCCCAAAAAAGAAAGGAAAATGGTGTTAAGAGTGAGAGAGAGAGACCAAAGAAAAAATAAGAAAGAAAGGAAGGGAATCGGTCACTGCTGTAAAAAGGGGTTTCTTACAATCATGATACCCCCAAGGCACAGGCTATTAGCGAAGGCCAGCTTCTGCTGCATTGTCACTCCATCATCGAAGCTTACCCACTGGTTCGTATTAAAGGTAAGCCAGCGGACCCCTGCAGTGGCATCATATGATTCGGTTCCCGTTCCGGCCGCTAGAAGACGTTTGATCTCGGCGTTGGAAAGCGTCCCGGATGACCTTGTGCACTCTCCCGCAGTACCGCCGGTGGTGAACTGGCATACGCCGTTAGGCGTGGTGCAAGACGGATCAGCGAGCGTAAAGGAACGCCCGTACCACCCCAGCCCAAGCACAACCTTGGATGGGTCGACTCCGGCCCTCCACAGCAGGGACAAGCCGTCGTTGATTTCAGTGAGATTGGTGTGCGGGCGGATGTAAGGCCCCGTGAACTTGTCGGTCGAGTCCCAGACGCCATGGATGTCGTAGCTCATGAAGTTGAACCAGTCGACGCTACGCTCCATGTCAAGAACGTCAAAATGCTGCAGATACCAGTATGAGGATGGAAGTGTAGCGCTGATTCCCAATCCGCTACCGAACGAGGCCCTCAATTCAGCGAGGAAGGTTGGGAAGTTGGAGAAATCGGCTGGGACACCGCCTCGGTCGTCGGCGGCAGGGTATTCCCAGTCAATGTCCACGCCGTCAAAGCCGTATGTCTGCATGAAATTGCGCAGTGAAGTGATGAAGGCTTGGCGATTTGCCGGAGAGCTGACCATGTTACTGAAAGCATTCTGCGTGTTTGGCGTATTCGTTGCATCATTGAAAGACCAGCCGCCGACTGATAGCCACGTCTGCAGTCCTGGCTGTTTTGCCTTGAGTGCTGTGAAGCGCGAATAAAGGGTGGCCGAATTTCCGTCCATGGGCGAGATCTGGAAAGTAGATGGGTCGAAGTATGAGAAAGCAAAATTGATGTGCGTCAGACCCGTCAGCTCGAGGTCTTCAGGTGTAAACACATCACATGGACGCTCCGTCGCCCAGCTCTCGTAGTACCCGATGCGCCGCCCAGCCGCAGCGTTGCTACCACTGGAGCAAGAAGGAGTTGGAGCTGGTCCACAGCCGCCAAACCCCTCCTGACAACCAGTGCCACAGAAGTCATCAGTGCTGCCGCCTGGGGGGTAAAATAAGGGTCAGCATCTGCTCTCAAGAATGGGAAATGTCCAAGCAAACGTGAGGCTTACAAAATCCATATTGCGAACAACACACGCTCAGAGGGCACGTTGCGTTATCGGGGTTAGCGTATTGGCCACAAGGAGCTTTTGCGTCGCAGTTGGAAATGCAGACGTCAGCCCCGCAACTCGAGGGGGCGTAGGAACAAACGCCAGTGTTTGAACAACATGCTCCATTTGTGCAAGGTACCCCAGGTGCGCAAGTGCCTACGGGAAGGTCTCTTTTGCGCAGAGAGCCAGGGCCAGAGTCAAGGTGGTCAAGTCTTTGCCCTGGATGCTCAGACAATTGCCGGATGAGGGCCTCGTTTTGGAACTTAGGTTTGTTCTTTGAATAGGGCTGGTAGAGAGGCGGCAGGGCCGAAGACGAGTTCTTTGGCAACTGGGGTACTGGAGTGAACTCTGGCAATGGTTTCGCGTGATTGCGTTTCCCATAGTGGTGTTGACCTTGGGAAATCCCACAACTTGCCAGAGCAAGAAGCGCTGGCAAAAGGATTCGCATTGAAGCTGCTGCCAAAGCTCAACACGCAAATGGTATCAATGAGGGACTGATGAATAAAAGCCACTCTGGCCTTTGTCGTTGAAATCTTTGGAGCAACGGCACAGGAACCTCCAGCCTCTGGAGAAGACAGGAGTACAATTTCTTTTAACCCAGATATGGGGGTGGAAATGACGGCAAAGAAGACGAGAAGCCGGTCACACGCCAGCGCCCTTTATTTTCCACCCATATTATTGAAGTGATGGTGGATGCATGCCCGCCAGGGGGTATCCTGCTCCTCGAACTACCACCAAATTGCCCAAACAAGCTGGTTCACCGAAGGCCTCTGCAAAGGCTTGCGTCAAGGGCTGAAGTCCAAAAGTCCCTAGCAATTAGGCAGAATCTGCAGAGATCCAGACCACCGTGATTGTAGGGTCTATATTGCAATAATAAATGATTGGCTACTTAACAAGCACTTCTCCGCCCAACGCACAGGTCCGTGCATTTCCTAATACCAAAATTATTCAACTTGTCATTAGATAAATGCATGTGTAAATGATTCTCAGGACAGCAAAGGACAGGTATTGGTATTTTAAGCCAGAGAACTGTGAACCACTGAAGAGTAGCAGGTTCAAGTTCTCCGGTCTAGTCCGAGATCCCAGAATGGGTCGGACATTGTCCTTTCACAGAAGTTGTAATAATTTCTCGTCGCGGACCTGGGGGATGTGAAACTATTAGGAAATGCATGGACCTAGGCTTTAGGTGGAGAAGGCCGCACAGTGTCAGCACTTGTTGAACTACTACTTCTTAGTTCTCCAGAAGGCAGATTTTGCATGTCGCCTCGGCCATTGGCTGCAGGAGACTAGACTAGCCCAGTAACTAAATAAACAAGATATCCCGAGTAAGCCGCCACCTAATCTCTAGTATCCTTGTGCAGGCTAACAGGAAGCAAACCAAGTCCGCAGTCACAAGGCACGAACTTCCAAATCGCCCAAAATATCCTAGTACCTGCATCAGGCAAGGGGAAGGCGGCAGGATAAATGATGGCGTGGTCATCGAGGAGGGGCACTTCAAACAGCCCTTCGTGAAGAGGAGAGGAAGAGAGAAAAGTGCCCCAACATTCCTGTTCCTCATGCCGTCGAATCCATCCTCGTGCAAAGAGCAATTCGAGTATCATAGCTCCTTGCCTACCCAATGGACAAAATGTTATTCTCCTTGTTGAGACTCTGTTTTGTCCTGCTTACGGCATGGACAACTTGGGTTGCGGCCGATTTTGCGCTGTACAAAAACTATGATTCAGACGCCTTGATTGCTGGGCTCTCTCTGAGTAGTACGTGTCTTGCAGCACTGTGAGTACTTGCCTCTGGTTCCGTCTCCCTGAAATGTCGTATCCCTTTAACACCTCAACAGGAACACCACCATTCCTTGCAATGAAACCGCTATTGGCCTATTAGGGCACGGGGCAGACATCCACTGTAAGCCTGCTGTGTCCAAACCTGTTGTTGTCTGCCAACGAAGAAGCGAAGCTAATAAATAAAGTCTGGACGACTGCTGAGGTAGAGAACCTCTGCACCACAGACTGTGTCTCGTCCCTGAGTTCCTGGAAGGATAATGTTGCAACAGTCTGTGCAGAAGAGACCACAATCCAGGGCAATGTCGTGGTCAAGGCGAGAGCGCTGCCACTGACATTTACCTATAATTCTGATCTCGTATGCATGAAGGACAGTTCATCAAATTGGTGTTTCTTGGACTCTCAGACATGGCAAGGAAGTGACTATATTCGTTGGGATCCAACAATGTGCTTCACCGATGGTGATGACAACAGCACAGTCGCGCCTCAATGTGCCGATCCGGATTTTGATATCGGTGCTATCAGTGATGACATGTCCGCTCTAACTAATATATATGACAAGGAATTGGTATGCGAACTCCCTATGAAGTACATCAGTGCCATTGAGGTTGTCTACTAACTGGGCGTAGTTCTGCAATGAGTGTTTCTTGAATCTGTATCGGCAACGTCTCCTGGATCCTTGGCTACCAGTTAGCAATTTCACGGATTATTTAATCGATCAGTTCGACCTTGTTCAAACAAACTGCTCAACAACGCTGCCTTACAGCACTTCAGCCTCCACCTTATACGTAGGGACGGCAACGGCTACTACCACCACCAGCGCAACGACGACAGGTTCCTCCCCAACAACTACACCGACTTGTCTGGGTCAAATGGTGCAGCCGCTGCAAAACTGGCTCACCTGCAATGATCTTTGCGATACGTATGGCATCCCCCCATTAGTTGGTGGGCTGGCTGATTGCTAATACGCTGCATGCGGCAACTAGGTACAATATATCAACGGGTGACGCTAGAGTTATCACTGGGGATTTCAGCTGCTATTTCGACCAGGCTACCTGTTTCCCCCTTCCATGCGAGATCGATACGGTTTGGGATACACCAAGTTGGTATGTAGGGCATAACGGTGGCCTGAAGCCACGAGACCGTGATCTGTGCTAAGCCCTGTGAAAATAGTAACGATCTTGCTAAGAGATATTCCAACTCGACTTACACCGTGACCACTGGTCAATTCCTCAGCTGGAACACCAATATCCAGGGCAGTTGTTCAGGAATTGCACCAGGGCAGCGTGTATGTAAAAGGTAAGTCTAAGATCAAGGAGGACAAAATAGAGACATTTGCGGCATTCAGTGATGCTAACCAGAGTCGGCGAGAAAAAAGTGCCCCTGGAGGCACGTTTCCTAAACCCAACGCGACCATCACGGCGCCTGGCGCGACCGGCCAGCCTACTTACTACACAGCAACCACTGCGGCCTACCCGACCCAAAGCGGAACCATCAGCGAGTGCGGCAACTACTATCTCGTTGTAGCCGGTGACGACTGTGCTACCGTCGACCTGCGCTTCGGTCTGAACTATAGCCAGTTACAAGAGTATAACACGTACCTTGACGCCACCTGCAGCAACCTGTGGCTTAATTACGACGTGTGCGTTGCCCCTGTGGCGCCTGAGACAGTCTCAACGGATGGTACGTGCCCTCCGGGGGTAACCTGTGTTGGAAGCACCTTTGGCGACTGCTGCTCGCCATTTGGCTACTGCGGAACCGGGTCAGATTACTGTGTCAGCACAGGCAACGGCACGGCGACGCAAGACGGCACCTGTGGGCCCAATTATGGGGGTACGACTTGTATTCCCCAGTTCGGGGACTGTTGTAGTATATACGTAAGTGATGCAATATTCATTTATGACCATCCCTCCTATTCACTGCAGTCGCTGATAATAGACAAAGGGCTACTGCGGCAATGGCACCACGTATTGTGGTGCAGGGAACTGCTATTCTGGCAGTTGTGACACTGATAATGGCGGCCCGTCCACAAATGGAGAATGTGGCCCGAATTTTGCCGGAAACAAGACCTGCACTGGTACCCAGTTTGGGACGTGTTGTTCCACGTCTGGTTATTGTGGAAGTACCAGTGACTATTGTTCTGGGTCAAACTGCTATAGCGGTGCTTGTACGTCGTAATGTTGCTCAGACTGTGAAAGATAGAGTTTCTTAATGTATATACGATGTCCAAGTAAACATTCCATTCACTTTTGAGACCATCTTCACTCATGCTGTTTCAATGTTGATCTAGCGCTGGGACTGCAATGCCCAGGCCATAATTTCGTCACATAGCTGAACGTTCCTTGTAGAATCGGCATTGCTCTCTTTGAACGGCAATACTCAATAACTGCCCGTTCAATGTGAAACTAATGAAGGTTCTGTTTGATAAAAGGGCAATGGTCAGAATACTAAGTGTTTCCCAAGTCCCAACACTGTACTACTCCTTAACAGCCGAAATATATCGAACAGTGGATGTGACTGGCGTTTCAGTATCAAATATATTATCCGGAACGGAGCTGGCAACCAGATCTAATACACTATAATACACCGGGCAACCCGTTCACATCAAAGAGTCACTTTCTTCTTCACTGCTTTATTAGTGTACGCCCTCTAGCTTAGACGCAGGCAATGTCGGAGTCCAACGACAGCTCAGGTCTCAGTGAACTGTCCGCGACCAGTTTAGTACCAAATGGTCCTGGCGGTGCCATAGTCGATCAGGCAGTGCAATAATAGCACTCCTTGTCTTCGCGCTATTTTCAATCTCGTGTGCGTTAGCAGGTGCTAGTCACTTCCCAATTCAAGGAGCCAGTGTGGCCTAGGTGGGTTGTACTGCTCATACATCTCGTATAACCGTAGGTGGTGGTACTGAATCGCGGTAAGACTGCCAGACTTCATCGATCTCCCATATACTGTAGTGCATTGGCAAGTATTTCTTGCGAGTTACTACTGCACAACCGAGCTGCAACACACGCGGTATATGAGTCAGTGTCGGTTACGTTACAGGTAAATCTTTGTTGAGGAAACAGGCGGCACACGGAAGTCAAACTTATCGAAGTGAGTTGTAACCAGTTGCATCTCATCCTCGAATTAGCGGCCATAAGTACGCTTGAAAAGACAGGAAAAGAAAATGGCAAGAGGCAAAAGGAGAAGTGACGAATGTGCAGCATGCAGGTTGGAACCAGACCATGCTCACTGCAGCTTTGGTCGAATCGAGGTACAGATGGCCTCCATGGCCAACAGATATCAAGAGTCGATATATACAAGTTGCACGATTGGTAATTGGATTTTGACATAAGGTATTCGTCTAGAGAACCGGGCTTTAGACTTGGATGGCGGTCCATAAAATTATGTACACAATTTCTGTAGTATGGTAMAATGGTTGGTCCACGCTTCTGAAACAGGATTTTAGCCATTTCCCAACATTGAAAGACCTCGAAGCCGGTTCACATGATGATAGGATCGACTCATGCGTTGTCTCATAGGTCCACTCGCGTGGGTCTCGCTTCCACTACAACTCGCTTCCAAAGCTTAAAACTTTCAATGATTACTCAGCCCCATATAACGAGGCCCGGGTACAAGATTAAGCATTAATCCTTATCTGCTAATCTATCCCACCAGTAAGCCTAAAAAGKCTTCAGTTCCACAGCTCCTCAGACAGCATATCGGTTTCCAACTCCTGCTCATTATATTCTCAACTGTAGATACTCACCAGAGGACCAGCTCTATCTATAGTAATAAGTATAAAGTATTAACTCAGTCTCTGTATTACCTATATAAACCTAAACTTCCTTTATAATACTATCGTATTTTAACTAGTAGCTAAAATAACTAAGTGCTAGATGTCACGGGCTAGAAGCCGATTGAACCTATAACCGAGGTTTGGATGGTAAGAAATCACTAAAGGATTCTAACTAGGGCCATAGGGGCCAAACATCAAAAGGAGAGTGTGGCAGGAAGTAGAGTCATATAATAGGATAGACTAGCATATTAATTAGTACATAGTCAATAACTAGTGTCCAGTATGGATGGGAGTTTATGATTTTATAAATACAGCTGCATACACAATGTGGTGCGTATCATGGGGTCAGCCTATAATAATACCCCCCTCTTTTAAAGCCACCTCTGGGGGCTGTTAATGCAAGAGCGCATCTATAGTAGAACCTTAGGCTGTTATCTTAGTGCAGGGCTTAACAGGGGTAGGTGAAGGTGAGCCATGCTGGGATGTAGTAGGTAAGCTAGAATAATATAAGTACTAGTTATATTCTTTAATCTAATAGTTATTAGAACTGCAGTACAGGCAGAGGTTATATTCTAGTTAGTAAGTATAATACTCAGAAGTGGATAATTAAGAAGATGAAGTAGATAATATATAGAGGGTTGGTGTAATAATATATATATATGGAATCCAAACAGGGTCTATATCTATTAAGTTAGTATAATAAGTCTGAATAGATATTAATTTTAAAGCAGGATTCTTAGCAGGCTGGGAATAGTAAGTATATTAATTAATAAGCTAGACAAGCTCTATATATTTATTATATAGGAGGCTAAAAAGAGAATTATTTATATCTTTAAGGGCTTGATAAAGAGAGGGGTGAAGTCCTCTATACAGAGTAGTTAAATATAAACTATCTAGCCATATGGTTACTTCAGCCTTCTAAGATGCTCGAAGTAGGTAAGCAAGGTAATAAAAGGTTCTTCTTCTTATTACTATAAAGTGGTGAAGTGCTGCATGGCTTCCTAGTATTCACTAGGGTTATAATAAAGCTACTAGAAGAATAAAAAGATAGCTTTAATATTCCAGGACTGGGTTTCTTCCACAGATTAGTATAGATGAAGGACTAAGGCCTGTTGCAGTTACTCTAGTTAATCCTATATAATTAAAAGTATTAGCCATGGTGGGTTACCTCAGGTATATGATTCCCACGCTTCTCTATGAGTGCTCGAGGAGCCTATCTTTCGGTAACCCATGTTCGACCCTGGGGAGGTAGTTGATGACTCTCTCCTTAGCATTTTTGAGAATTCATGCGGCGGGCTGTCGCTAGAACGAATGTGTCTTGCCTCTCGAATAATATACCTTCGCATCCTACCCGTCACCCTTTCTGGGGTATGGAGGTATAGTCTAGTCCAGTAGAATGCACGCACATTCTCCGTATTGGACAGAGTATTCATTAAACCCCGAAGTTCCGGGTTTGTTGTCCTGTATCCATAATAGCTTGGGTAGATCCTTCCTAGAATTTACTTGCTGCGCTTTACTGTCTGCTCACATACAGCGCTGTATCGGGTCCCTGTGGAGAGCCGAACTGCTGGGAAGTATCGGGCGTGACCGGACAGTAGGGTAAGGGAAGTCACACCAAGCCCAATCGAACAGTGTTGTTTGACTCGATGGCCAACCGATCGTCCTTCCTCATGTACACGCAGAAGCCAGTCCTTCCGCCGTAATCTCTGAGCCACTAGGGACTGGCTATGAGAGACAGTGAACATTCCGCCCCTGCCGACGAGCTCAGCGATTCGGGGGGATCCATCTATTAAGAAAGAGAGGTACTTTTTCATTGCCATTCTCCTAGGAAACATCAAATTAAGTATGTGTCGAATCGTATTGTCAATCCCTGTTCATAATGCTGTCGTAACTCAAACACAGCCAGCACTGTCACAGAATCCCAGTACAGACGTAGTAACCCAACCACAAGCTGCTACATCAGATGAAGCCCTAAAGAATATAGGAACTGAAAAATATACTTATTCAGTACATCTCTCAGACTTTCGGCGCCGATCGCGTACATAAATCACTGTAGACAAGTTCTTCGGAAGGGACCGGCGGCTGGTTTCGAACAAAGAAGAGGCGGCAATCAAATCACTGAGTTTATGATACCCGTAACTACGAGGGTCGAAGTCTGGATATATTTTGGTCAGGAGGTCACCGACATGGGAGAGGCTAGCCCATCCATCGTCATCTGATGCAGCTTCTACCGATGCTCGTAGCCGACTTGCTAAGTGTTTATCATTCTGAGCTTTCTCAGCTAGCGAAGAATTCCCAGGTGCGATAGTGCTATCCGCATGCGGCACAAGCTCATCAAGATGCACGAGATTTTCGGTGTGGATAAATTTATCGCAGGCAGCGATGAAGGGCTTGGGCGTCTTTTGCTCCCCGAAACCATATACCACGAGTCCTGACTCGCGGATACGAGCGGCTAGCCGGGTAAAGTCGCTGTCGCTGGAGACAAGGCAAAACCCATCATAGCGGCCGGTGTACAGAAGATCCATCGCGTCTATGATCAAAGCTGAGTCGGTTGCATTCTTGCCGTGGGTATACGCAAACTGCTGGATCGGCTGAATTGATTGCTGAAGGAGTTCGTCTTTCCAGCCCTTGAGACTGGAACTGCTCCAGTCTCCATACGCTCGTTTCGTATGAGCTATGCCGTAATTTGCGATTTCAGCGAGAAGAAAATTGATGATGGAGAACCGCGCATTGTCCGCGTCGATAAGAACCGCGAGTTTTGGAATAGTATCACCGACCATTATGAGTAAAGTAGCTGGAATTAGGAGGTCAGACTACTTGTCATACTTAGCAATGTGACCTTTAGGCAATAATTCGTAGCCTTTGCTACCACTTGACATGTTATACTACTGATAAAGTTTATTAAACAAAGTCATGACGGCGCATTTACGTGATTGATGATTAAAGTAGGGTTTCCGATATGACGCCCTCGTTTCCTGGCTCTAGTCACACCACTTTCGCCTTCCTGTCCCTCCACGTTGGGAAGTCAAAATGTCCACCCGCTCTTCTAACTCGATTACCCGCGTTTGATAGCTGGTATGTAATTTGAGACTCTAGAAGTCCGATGACTCCTACACACAGTAGCCCAGCCATAGACCTGAACAGCCAGAGCGAAGGGTTGTGTTCCAGGTCTCGAAATCCGTGACAGAGATGCCGGCGGCGCTGTCAATGGAGGCACAGCTATCTCCGCTGACGACGAGATGAATTCATCGAAATCGTGTACATTCCGGATTTATACGGGGTAAGGGTGCTGATCCCGTTTCCGGTGGTAGTGGTGGTAGTAGTAGTGGTTGTTGTTGTGATGGTGGGCGTGCTTGTCGCGGTAGTGGAATTTGCGCCCCCAACAATACCAATGCAGACATAGTAGTCCAGCCAGAGACCAGAACAGTCGGAACCGACAGTGGGATTCCAAGTTTCAAAGCTGGAGACAGATATACCTGCCGAACTGGCGATCGTCGCGCAGGTGTCGCCACTCACAACAAGGTGGAAGGCATCGCAATCAGACACCATTCCTGTCTCATACGGAGTAGGAGTGGCGATGGCACTTGTAGATGTTGAGGTAGTTGCTACTGCTGTACCTGAGGTGAACCCTCCAGATGTAGTCGTGAACGGATTCGACGAGCTCACGGTGACGATGGTAAAATTGCTGTACACAGTAGTACAGGCCGGGGATCAGGGTACAGCCTGTGCCGAGTTCAGTGACAATGGGGTTCTGCTTCACAGTCAGCATGAGTTGGTCCATTTTCATGATGGATATTTGAAATGGTCTCACCCATTCCTCGAATTCAGCTTCCGTCATTCCAAACAGCTGCTCGATCAACGCGCATGTCAGGCTCGAGGAATATTCAATCCATTCGCTGCAGTCAGCTGTGGTCCCTGGGGCAGCAGTGCTTGGTGGTGAGACCAGATATGCCCCTACAAGGAGGGGACATATTAGCATGCGCAAAACCGGACAGAGTTTCACTGTGAAAGATAGAATCTAGAATAGCCGATACTATTGCACTCCACTGAGAAAGTCTCCTAAAGATAGGCTAAGGCTGGTGAGCGATATATTATTGTATCAACCTCCCAGCGGCAGTTACATAGAATGCACTGCGGCGAGATTCCTCCCCAACAGCCAACGGATAATTAGGTATACTGCAAGGAAATTACAGCCGTATCTCCGCCAGTAATATGGTCAATCTCGCCTAGAAGAATGCATGCTGAACTATGACTGCATGCAGCTAGTATTGAGGAACATGAACTAAATATTGCGTGCCTGGCAAGTACCAGCGGCGCACTCATTCCAGGTCCCCGTCGGATATAATAAATTGAAGTCATTTGCTCATGACTCAACCTCCATCCGGAATCAGGAGTTTTCTCCGAATAGTTTAATCTAATGACCCCTACCCCTGCATAGGTCACACATGTGAGGAAGAAAGCTGACGCGTCTATCAATAATCTGGGGTCTGGCCAAGCCCTCACATGCAAGTAATATCAAACTACAGGGTGCCAAGCTAGCTTAACTTGGCTTAGGCCGCCATTCCACAGGCTTATTTCATCCGTAAAAGGATTTGAGCCGTTCGCCTTTAGCTCAATCCTGCTTCGATCAGCCAAATTCTCGTCTTTCATCTCACCATGTCCCTTCCCTCGCTTCCAACGGAAATCTTACGCCTCATCGGAGAGCACATAGAATCACTCCAGACCCTCGCTGCTCTGGCCCGCGTGAACCGCCGGTTAAATGTTATCTTCGATCCTGCGTTGTATCAGCTGGATGCCCAGCATCCTCCTAGTGCGGCGGTTAGCTGGGCAGCAGAGCGTGGGATGACGCATCTTTTGGAAAAGTCTATCAACTACGGAGCCGAGATACCCGTGCATTCGCAAATTGGTCAACTCAGCATCTCTGAGAGGCGGGTTGTGTATGGTAAGATAATCCACCATCGCTTTACGAACTGTCCGCCACCACATCCTCTCTGTCTTGCCGTCCAAAATGGACATGAGGGAATAGCCAGGATTCTCCTAGCGCGGGGTTGTGACCCGAATATGGAGACCCCTGACCGATATTCCTTGCTATCACTTGCAGTCATCCGCGGTCACGCAGGCCTAGTCAAGATGCTTCTGAGTCTAGGTGTAGACCAGAAATCTCGAATTCCCACGCACAACAGCCCCATTCAGATTGCCGCTTTCCAGGGCAACGAGACCATAGTGGGATTGCTACTCCACTGTAGCTCACAGCGCCTGCACCATACCAACGAGCTCCGAGACGCACTTGAATGTGCCTTGAAAGAAAATCACAAGAACATTATCTACCAGCTGGTAGAATACGGAGTGAACCTAAACACGGCGTTTGAACACTGGTCCGGCAAAACCCCGCTCGTCTGGGCGAGTGAACAAGGAGATGTTGATCTTGTTAAGCTATTCCTGAGCCACGGCGCAGACCCTAAATACCACGGGTGGGATTACGAAACTGCATTGGTCAAGGCGGCCGCCCGCGGCCACACCGATATTGTCAGCCTCTTTGTAGGCGAGACCGACCGGATGTCGCGGACTCAAGCGCTTGCTCTGAGCATGGATTACCCTGATGGACAAGTCGCCGGGATCCTGCTAGACAATGGGGCCCTTCCTGATTTTGTTGACCAGGATTATGCAGATTTTCCATACAGCCCTTTTCGTACCATGCAAGACCGGAAGGATTATCGATTGATTCCTCCGCTCGTGCGGGCTGTGAATGCCGGACATGCAAACCTAGTGCGATTACTGGTTGGGCATGGGGCCAATGTCAACGCTTTCTACGAGGGGCTTGTGCATACGCAGTCCTCTCGATCGAGCGGCTCGGTACTGCAGCTGGCGATGGACCTGAATGATGAGGATACCGTGAAATACCTGCGTGATCATAGGGCAGTCGTAGAGGTTGACAGCACGTTCGACAGGCTCATGAAGCGTTTTCACAATCCCACGTATCCCGATCCTGCGATTAGCCGGCAATCCAATCAGAATTGACGCAAGTTATAAACTGGCTTAGCAAATACTGATTTTGGATTGACTGAGTCTTTGTACAGACGAAGTGTATTTGGGATCCACCTCGATCCGTCTTAGAATTCACTAGATTGAGAGCTCATACGCAGACAAGGCTTACAAAGGTCCTTGCCGACAAAACCGGTCTAGGTAAGACCTAATAGTAGCCGCTAGCCGACATCCAGAGCCAAAATGTAAGAATGCTTAGCCTCATGGGATTATACATGCATATAAATTAAACTAGAGCATACTAGATCCTTCATTCCACCTTAGTCTCCACTAAATTAGATGGTACATTCTACTTGATTAAGTTAGGTCGATGGAGGTTTCCCACTTTCTTAATGAATGAATCATCTACCCAGACCTTCCACCATCCAGAGACGAGTATGCAAGCCATCCCGTACGTACTCACCAAGTATACACCTCATAGAGTTTGCCAGCCCTTGGGCGGGATGAATGCAACAGCTGCACTGCTCGAAGGAGGGGTTTGATACAGATAAGCAGCTAGAGAGAAAAATACATATGGCGCTGGAGCATTGACAACCGAGGCTTCTTTCGAAGTGAAACTGGCGTTCAGGATTTTCAAGGATCACTAGGAGACAACGTTACCTGTAATCTGTCTGACCAGCATGAAATAGAACAAGGAATCTTACATCCTGAATCGCTATCTGTTCCCGCGCTATCGACCAAGTGGAAGAGTTCATGGTACAAGGTGCAGCTGATGGTCGAGTACGCCTCTGGGAGAATGCGAGCGCCAGCCACGGTTCCATGCTTTAAATATTGTTGGCTACAAAGCAAGCTGAGCATGGTGCATATACCTGCATATATATATATATATATATATATATACTGTAGACCTGGGCCATAGCCACTGCCAGACAACTTAGATTGCGGTAGAATGAATAATACTTTCTGAGGAGCTCAACCCTTAGGGAGAATAGGTGGTCGTATTTCCTCGAGAAGACCAGTCTTAGAGGGAGAAAGAGGAAGAAAATAATCTAAATAAATAAGACAAGCATAACTGAAAAGCAAGGCCGTGACCTGACTGGCAGGAGGAAGAGGACCTTGATAGAAGGTGATCTACAGCTAGTTACCCTTTGGACCGCTGTAAAGGGTTACCAAGTCTCAGTAGAATGATGTGCAAGATGTGACCGGCCAGGGGATGGACTGATATTTTGTTATTCCTATGAATCATTTCTGTGGACACATTGCAAGCCGACCTTGCCTCATCAAATGGTCCTGCATTACTTCAAAGTGAATCTTTCCATTGGACCCCTGTTGAAAGATGGTAATGTTCGTGTAAACAGGTACTGGAGGCATGAGCATATTTACTTTATTAACTTAGAATTGTTGAGAGGCAGTAAAACTATCAAAGTCCCAAGCATGAAGAGGACTAGTAGCTTATCGAAGGTAATACTGAAATCATTGACCGCTATCTACTGCTCCAACTCGACAGCATCCACGCCGGGCATTCCTTTCATCAAGCTATCGAAAAACGCCATGTCGACCCCCTGAAATGTCCAGTCATTGACGCCAGCCGTGATGGAAGGAAGTCCCACATGCGGTTGCAGAGTAATGTCGTCATGGGTAGGGCTGGGGTCTTGCAGAATGGACTGCTCATGTAGCTGAGCGTTCAGCCGGTCCGATGCGGGCAGAGCCCCTTGAAAGGGTGAGCCTTGCCTAGTGCCGTGCAGATGGCTAATCGGCTGCTGTTCCTCCGTCGACGACGCATGAGGGACAGACGCGAACGCATCGTTGGGTACGGCAAGCGCTGACTCTCTCTGTGGGAACTCGACCGGGTTCATCTGGTGCGGCCCGGGCAGCTCGCAAGAGATAGGATCCTGGCGAGCAATCTTGATGACGCCCAGGTACGGAATATACAAGCGAAGCTGGTCACTTTTCTTCTCAGTGCCCTCCTGCCCCTCGTCAGCATCTGCTATTACGCTCCTGGTGGTGTAACTGCGTCCCTCGGCTGCGTCCGCCTCGATGTCGAGCAGGCGCCGGATCAGTTTGGCACTCTTCCCGGTTATTATGTCCTTATTTGCGTTACTGATGACATCCATTCGCTCCAGTGCTTGCTCTAGTATGGCGCGGTCGCTCAAGCGTTGATGAGCGAGTATGTTGGTCGCTTCGCGATGATGATGAGCGTCGAGATGAGCAAGCAGGAGCGTCATTGCCGCCAGCAGTGCAAAAAAGTCCACGGGTCGCGAGCAGGACGACATGGGGTTAAAGGTTCGGTGAGCGATAAATCGCGTCATTATCTCCCGGCTGGCATTGACGCAAGTGATCTTGGAGTACTCGTGCTCAGTGTGGCCGCCTATTCCATGCATCATATACGGTAGGTGGAGATGAATCAACAAGCCATAGTAGTAGACCTGGGCTGACAAGCGTACTGTTTCCAACAGGCTCTCCGGCGATCCTGGGGTAAGGTTATGAAAATTCGCCGGCCGCCAAAAGTTTGTGGGCATGCTTCGAGACAGTCTCAATAGCTCCGAATCGATGGATTGGGTAGTCATGAATGCGCTTGTGGTAAATGCACTTTCGTTGCGTTCCAAGATGCAGGAGGCAATGACGGTGAGTTGTCGCTCGAATTTGCCGAGGGGCGGTTCATGCTGAAGAGCTGATACAGCTCCCATGCTCTTGTCAGTTGTGCCTTGAGGGAGACCAAGCAGCAGGCTGAGATATCGGTCCATATACACGATGCGGAACCACATGAACTCGGGGTCCGCGTGCAGCTCTGGATCGATGCGTTTCAGGGGTGGCATTGGGGAGCGGTGCAGGCCCATCAACTGGGCCACTGTCATTGCTCTGCGATAAACAAGCCAAGCCCGTCGAAGATTTCCACAATTTATCTCAAAAACACCCTCTAGGATGATGCAAATTAGGCCCTCGACTGTTCCGTGCATCTCTTCCTTGGTCGTTATCCATGTCGTTGCAGCCGTCTTCAAGCGACTCATGAGTACGCCTTGCGGTTCAGAGAGACCATGAACCTTTTCCCCACACGGACTCTGTAGAGTAATTGCAAACATGAGCATCCGTTTGGCGACGATGATCGGATGGGTGTTGGGACTAGGAAGTTGAGGCATCGGTTGTGGCGCGGTAAGCGACTCCAGTGTCAGCTTACTATGCGGCTGGGTGTTAATGAAATCGGTATAAAGCGATGGCCTCAAGCTCTCCCTGAGCAGGATTTTAGCATCATCTTCAGCTGGAAAGGCCGCCCATAGGTGATGGAGGGCTGTTGACTCGGTTTTGGCTCGACCTGATACAGATTGAGAGTCCAGTGTGTGTATGGGTCGTATCGGTGCGGGCGCTGAATCATTGGAGTGCGCTTTTATGGCATCCGAATGCTTGTCTTGCAGTGGCTGCCCTTCAGCAGGATGTTTGCTAACAACAAAGTCCTTGATGAAGTCTTCAACTTTTGCGATGCGTTCGCTGAGATGCCGGTTGCCTTTTCTTGCCGGAGACAAATCCTCGGGCATGTCCTGACTGACGCAAGGAGCACGCCGGTGTTGACAGCCGATGCAAGCGACATCATCGGGGGATGAGAAGATGCACCGGATCTTCCGCCGCTTGCATTCCCAGCATGACCGTGTCCCCTTGCGCACCCTCCTGCGCTTCGCTGATGGTGCTTGGTGATGTAGTTTTGTCGTAACCGACTCTTCCATGACTTCTGGTCCACTAGAGTGTTCTATTTGTTTCGTAGAGATGGTTTCGAGGATGGAATGCTGGATGTTGTCAGATTCTTAATTCCGCCGTGACGGGCGAAGTGGATTTGTCATCTCTAGTGAATTAACTATACGAACAATATGCGGCCATTCGTCCGTCACGGCGGAAAACACAATCGATCCAACACACCCCCTACTTAAATCTCTATTTCCTCCGAAAATACAGCATGACAAGTCACATCTTATCTCACCTTACTTCAGTATCTAAAATGGCTTCTCAACCAGCCGTTCAAGACGTGCCCAGGCAAGACGTGTCCGGAGAAGAGACGCCGCCAATGAGTCCCGACAGCAATGATAGCCCCAAAGAGGTTGACGAGAAACTGGCCACGCCTCCAGCTGCGCCCAGCGGACCTCCTCCGCCTCCTAATGGCGGACTCATGGCATGGCTCCAGGTTGCCGCGGGCTTCGTTCTCTTCTTCAACACATGGGGCATGATCAACACGTTTGCTGTCTTCCAAACTTACTACGAGAGCGGCCAGCTCTTCAAGGCCTCCTCTTCTGAGATCTCCTGGATAGGCTCCATCCAATGTTTCCTCCTTCAGCTGACAGGGCTGATTGCCGGCCCCATCTACGACCGGGGCCACCTCCGCCTGCTCCTCATCAGCGGTAGCTTCCTGGTCGTCTTCGGTCTCATGATGCTCTCCCTGTGCAAAGAATACTGGCAGGCCCTGCTGGCTCAGGCCTTCTGCATCGGCATCGGCGGGGGCCTGCTGTTTACGCCTACCGTGTCGCTGCTCCCGACGTGGTTCAGCAMGCACATGGGTCTCGCCGTCGGCATCGCGTCATCCGGCTCCTCCCTCGGCGGCATCATCTACCCCATCGTGCTCTACCGGCTCCTCGGCCAGATCGGCTTCCCCTGGGCCGTCCGCACCCTCGGCTTCATCGCCCTCGGCACTTTCATCCTCCCGCTGGCCGTCATGCGCATGCGCATACGCGCTCCCAAGCCGCGCGCCGTTGTGGACTGGTCCGCCTTCACAGATGTCCCCTTCATGGTCTTCACGCTGAGCGTGGTGATCCTCTTCATCGGCAACGCAGTCCTCATCTTCTACGTCTCCTTCTACCCCGAAAATCGCGGCTTCACCGACACCTCGCTGGCCTTCTACATGGCCGCCATTTTCAACGCCGGGTCCTTCTTTGGGCGTATCGCCCCCAACGCGCTGTCGGACCGCATCGGCGTCTTCAACACCATGGCACCCATTACGCTGCTCCTGGGCGTCACTGTGCTGTGTATGCTGGGCGTGCACAATGAGGCAGGGATGATTGTCGAGGCAATCGTCACTGGCTTCTTCAGCGGCGTCGTCGTCGCCCTGCCTCCTGTGTGCTTCCGCGTGCTCACAGCGAACAAGTCCATGATTGGCACGCGCATCGGACAGGGCTTTGCGATTGGCGGACTGGGTCTGTTGATTGGTGGGCCAAGTGGTGGTGCCATACTCGGGAAAAAAGAACCTCTGGATTGGACCGGCCTGTGGGTTTATGGGGGCGTCGCTGGGTGCGTTGCTGGCATCATCCTTGTTGGGGTTCGAATCATGAAGGCCGGGATCTCGCTGAAGATCAAGGCTTGATTAAGAATATTCAACTGTTTGTCCCTTGCTGAGTTATGTGGCCTGGTAGACGTATCTTATAGCTTGCAGAGATTGCACATACAATAATGATTAGTGGAAAGAATAGATCAGATATTTACATTTCCTCACTGAGATGACTCAATAACTAATTGTTTATTATCGAGGGCCTAGAGAAAGCAGAATTGCAGGTGTCGGTCAGATTATTGATCGCTATGCTTGGGCAAACTGTGTATGAAATGTGCTACTCTTTCGAGCTGCGTCGTAACATGAACCATTATTACGGCCATTCATTTCTAGACGTCAAGTGAAATGGGACGCTACGATTCGCTCGAGATATTTGTTGCCTTGCAAGGATTGATGTGTTCAGGAGGAGGAAAAGGAAGTGGGAAGATGTCGGGCATTGGACGGCTTGCGTTCCTACAGGTTGGTCACTCTTTGCTGTCAGCTTCTTTACATGGATATGCCAGTTCCCATGCACATGTATGTAGGCCTGCGTCGTTCGCCTGATTACATGAAATGAAGAAACGAATGCCCTCTGGACGAGAAGGATGATCCATCACTCAGTATACCTCGCCAGTTCTTCCTTTCCCTTTACCCTCTACTTTGTGAATCCACTGCGTCTAACGTTTCCTCTCATCAAGGAGTTCTCAAGTACTTGGGTTTTGGTGCATATTATACATAAACCTATGGACCCATCCTTCAGCCATAGTCTTCAATAATTGATGACACCACAAGTATAACCACTACATCAGTAACCGATTGCCCATGACAGGCATTCCATAATTGGGCTGAAGACTTTTCTCCAAGCCAGAATTCGATTCTGGGTTACCATGAGTCGATCCAAACCGTCGCCACGGGACGCAACCTACGAGAGAACAAAGTAATTACTCCCCAAAGCTCCCATTGAGACGAACAGTGAGCAGATTCTCCCGAACAATCTCCTCCTTCCTCGCCTCCAGCTCTTCCACATCCCAATTAGCAGCTACATACCTCCCCGACAAGAAGTGTCTATCCCCGCTGGCCAGCCAGACGGCCGTACCACCGCATAGCTCCGCCGTATCTTTCATGAACGGTGCCAGCCAAGGGGCACTTCTTCCCATATCTGTAGGGATCATACCGGGGTGAAGACTCACACTGGTGATGTCTGGATGTTCAGCATTAAGAAACGCAGTGAACTGGGTGACGGCCAGTTTGCTAATACCGTAGGAGTTCAGATTCGGAGCAACGTAGTGGCCTGCCGCGGAGGTGATGTTGATGACTGTCGTCGAAGCAGCAGGGCTCGGGCCAACCATTTTCAGAAAAGCGTGGATGACGTTGAACGTCCCTCGGAGATTGACTTCCTAGTCCTTGTCATACGCACTTGCCGACTTCCATACCCCGAGTCCAAAAAATACACGTACCTGAGTGCTCCACCAGAGGTCTGGGTCGTCATCGACCATCCGAGTTTGCGAAGAGACCACCCCGGCATTATTCACGAGGACCTGCGGCGTCCGAGCCCCGAGCCGCTCTCTGATCTCGTCGAATGCACGCTTGACAGCGTGGTAGTCAGTGATATCCACGGCAATTGAATGGACTTCCGTAGATGGATTGATACTCTTGACCATCTTCTCCGTCTCGGCCAGGTTTTCTCTCGAGCGCGCCAGAAGAATGATGGCATCTGCGTGGGCGCGTGCAAACGACGCAGCAAAGGACTACTCCTCTCAATCCCCATTTATAAAGATGTCTGCGTGCCAGATGCTTACGGATCGTCCCAGTCCGCGGCTTGCACCTGTGATGATCACAACCTTCCCACTTTGCGAGAGATCGGGCCGTGTGGGGTTAATGGCGGGATAGAGGTCTCGGTATGTTTTCTTTGTGAAGGCGTCGGCTTTGACGAAGACGTCTGGGTCGGGTTCGCCCTTGCGGGCCATGATCTCGGGGATTTTGTTCATTTTGGTCAATACTGAATCCAAAACTGTACTGAGTGATTTGAGGGCTCGAGTTGTTGCGGACGACACGTCATTATTTATGTCAATGACATTCTATGGTCAATCCATGGTTCGAGGACCAGATAGCCGAGTCTGGATCGTGGTAGATGGCGATTGAGTTTTGTCCTATCCAGATCTACGGATCGTGATACGTGCTGGCCTTGAAGCTTCATATTAGAGGATCAAGTGACCGTAGGTCCGATGATGGAGAGACTACGTCTTCAGAAACTTTGACGAATTATAACAAAAGATATGGCGATTATACAAAAGGGCAAGTTAAGTTTTGTAGCATGTTGTGGCTGGTTACGTAGCCCGCTGTGGTTCGCCACTAGCGACATCAGCAAAGACAGCAACTGGCCACCGTAGGTGCACCTCAAGGATTAACTTCGATCCGCCTATCGCATCTCCCAAGCTTGGGGTACTGTTTTATGCCAACATTCACATGGCACTAGTTGTGTTAGGTGTCTTTCCGCAGCGTTGTAGCTAGTTAGAACAATCAACTATCTTCCCCGTCATCGACCTCACGCTTGTAAAGCCATACCAGGTACTAACACTTATCAAGGATCTACCCATGTAAAAGTAATCCATATATATAGGGAGATCCTTATCTTCTAGTCCCATGAAATTAGTTGCATTAAAGGAGGCAGTTATGTGGTTCTATCTGTATTAAATAGGTTGCAAGGTCCTAGGCTAGTAAATCGTAAGCATAGAGGAAATGATCTGATGGAAAGCACGTAGCATTTTTTTTATATTAGCAAAATCATCAAGCTATAGTAGTGGCTCAGAATCCAGGGCTTGGGAACCTGGATATTTCTAGGATTATTAGGATGTAATAGACGATGCTCCCTCAGGAAATAAAGAATGGATGGCATGCTCTTACTAATATACATAGCCTTCCCTTAAGTTTATCCACCTCTCATCTTGCTTACAATTCCATTAACAGGAAGAAAAAGCTCATCATTGGCAGTGTTACCCAGAATACCAGTACCGGCCTAGTTGGTATAGCCAGGATCGCAATTCCCAAGCAATAAGACGCAGCATTCATTCACCTGAACTCCTCGGACTACCTAGCCTGCCACTCACTATATCCTAAAATAACATCTCTAAGAAACATATGAAGCAATAAAATCGTACGCCTTCAGAGTTGCCTTCCAACCATCCGACTCCGGATCGCTGCTCAAGTCACAGATATGCGGAGCTCCCTCCAGAAGCACCAGCTCGGCTTGGAGGCCTCTCTTCACCATCGTCTGGTACGTTCCCTCGCTCTGCTGCCAGGGAATTAGGTCATCGGCCGTGCCGTGGACGAAGAAAGTCGGTACAGTATAAGTGCCCTGACGTATGTGCGCACGGGGACTGGCGGCTCTGATAGTGTCGAGCGACGGCTGCGGCAGCGCGTTCCAGTCCTCGACGTCTGGGTGCTCGGCCGCGGCTTTCTTCTGGCTGGGCAATCCATTCAGGATGACCGGTAGGGTCTGCGCCTTCCAGTTGATGTGCAGCACAATGCGACAGCGGGCGTCGTCCATGCTGCGCGGATCCTTGATGGGCTCCTCCCATGCTGTCACCATCTCGTAGTTGGTAACGGGTGCATCACGGACGCCGTCGAGGACATTGTACTGCTGACCCTTGTATTCGGCGCCTATTGGCTGAATGGGGTGCTGCCACCACTGATCCTCGTAGTCTGTAGGCGCGTAGAAGGCGATGACAGCTGCCGGGGGAGGTAAACCGCGCTGCGGCGCCGTCCAGCCTAATGACATGGCGAGTTGTCCACCTGATGACCAGCCGATCACCACCACTTGTTCTCCGTCGATCTGTAGCCCGGACCGTCGAAGACGAAGATTAGGCAGTTGGTTGCGAGCCCAGTCGAGAGCATCGCACACATCCACCATTGGCCCCTCCGCTAGGGGGACCTCGGGGCAAAGCCGGTAATCCAGGCTAACTGGCAAGAAGCCCTTCCTCAGCAAGAGCTGTGTTTGAGCGGGTCTGATGTCTTTTCTGCTGAATAACATGTGGCTGCCTCCATGGATCATCAAAGCTGTATATTTGTAAGCATCAAAATTAAACATGAGAGACATAGAATTTATGGCGTACCGACTGGCATTTTTCTCTCAGGCAGAACTTCACTTTCAACAGGGTAATAGACGTCGGCGTGAACCTCAAGGTCTCCAATCTTCTTGTAGACAACAGTTTCCATCGCGGCCTTCACCCGCCTCTCGGGCGCTGTTTGTGCACCGGTTGGAAACGCAGCCACGACCCGGACTGTCTTAGACTCGGGCGTGTTGCCATCGCTCCATGACACCTCTCGGAATCCCGCTGCCTTCATCCGGCGCTCCCAGTGCTTCTCGTTCACCAACGCATGCTCACGACCATCCTCAAACAGCCACCAGCCTTCTAGCAGGCCGACCACGATATCGAGCCAGAACATGTTCTGGGTGATTTCAATCAGCGCCAGAGCGCCGTCGTCCCGCAGCATCCGTCGAGCATGCCGGAGAGACACCTCCAGGTTTCTTGTAGCGTGTATGCAGTTGGTGGCAATGATGCAGTGGAATGCGCCCTCGTATTCGGGCTTGGGGGGTTTCTCAACATCCAGGACATCAAATGACAAGCCCTCGGTGCCCTTGAACTGCCTCGCCGCTGCGTTTACGAGCGAAGCGCCAAGATCGGTAAAGACGTACTCGAAGTCGATGCCCTGGCTCTTGAGGTGGTTGATGATATACCGCGTCGTACCTCCTGTTCCCGCGCCGATCTCGAGGATGCGGAACTTGCCTCCGCCAGTGGCGTATTTGGTAAAGGCCTTGGTCAAGAAGTCGCCAAGGACAAGGGTAGGTGTCCGTAGCAGTGGAGAGAACTCATACATTTCCTCCAGCGTCTTTTTGGTTTCTCGATTCCCGAAGACAACTTGGAGACCCTCTTTATCACCGCGCAAGCACGCAGCCATCTCGGACCCGACCGCCCTCACCAGCTTGTTCACGCTGGCATGCTGTGGGTACAGGTCAATGATCTCGTGGTAAATGGACTCGGCAGAGGCCGGTTCAA